CTTCGTCTCACTTGTCTCCCCGTCTATAGCCCATACAAGACATATTTCGTGCGGATTTGAGTGACAAAATAGTTGCATAGGTACCCCATGAGGTAACTGTGACGAAACAACGACTTTCTACAGAAGATTTATACCCATATTGGCGATTTCGCCTCAAAATCGCTCGATTTCGGTGGGAAAAAATGCGGAGTCAATTTATAATGACCTTTTTGAATATGTAGGGTGTTCAAAGGCGTGTCAGAGCTCGAAACCAAAGGCAGACGTTGAGCAGATAGCTGAGAAAAGCAGAATCGCAGTACCAGAAATCGTGTTCATAATCGCTTTGCGACATGGGGTGGTCAGAGTACAGGTCGATTATGAGGTGATTAAGGCTCTCATAATCACTCCATAATCGCTCTCAGAATCGCCCCGTAATCGCGAACTCTGACCACCCCTACTTGTGAGTTTCATGCAGCGACCATCATCTTGAGCTGGACGTTGAATTGAGTAGCTGGCAAACCCGGGCACGACTCCGTTGTCACCGTACTTGACATCTCGCCAGACGGGCGGTGGGTAGCAACCGCCTCCGAGGATTCCACCATCATCCTCTGGGATGCCCAGGACGCATCCATCTCGCAAGAGTGGTTTGCGCATGACATGGATGTCTCGGATCTCGCATTACTGGCAGACGGCCGACACCTCGCGTCTGCAGGTCGAGAAGGGAAGGCGGCGATCTGGGACATCAGCGGCAGCGCACACCAAGTCGCCGCCCTCCAACTCGCACTCTTCAGACGCCTCACGTGGTCCAGCAACGGTGCTTGCGTCGCGTCCGAAGACAACCGCATGACTATACAAATATGGACGGACGAGCGTTCCAGAAGCTACCCCTTGACCGTGCCAGGACAAGACATGCCGAGCCGCGCGCATTCTCCGCTGACGGACGCTGGCTTCTGGCCTACGATCGGCACGGCTGTCATGTTTGGGATGTGGTGTCTGGCACATGCGCGGCGCTCGAAGGCGGATACGATCGACCGTCCACAGCCACGTTCAGTAGCTCGAGTACACACGTTGCTGCTGGGCATGAAGACGGGAGCGTCCGCGTCTGGGACATGGCGACTAGACAGGAGCCTCTGCATTGGCAGGCGCACGCCGAGCAGATCCTTGATATGGCCTTCTCCCCGGACGGACGGCTGCTCTTGTCAGCGTCGCCATGGGAGAAGACGGTGAGGTTGTGGAATGCGCACACAGGTGCGATGGTGAGGTCGCTCGAGGGACATGCGCACTGGGTGTGCAAGGTGTGCTTCTCTCCGTGTGGGAAGTACATTGCCTCTGCATCTGAAGACGAGACGGTGAGGGTTTGGAGGACGAGCGATGGGGTGTGCTTGGCGACCCTCTCTGACCACGGTGGGGAGGTCCTGCAGGTCGCGTTCACTCCTGATGGGACAATGTTGTGGTCTGCGGCCCACAATGGAACTGTCTTGGGTCGTCCGCTACGGGAGATCATTCCAGATGAAATCGAACCATAGATATAGTACACTTATGATCCCCGTTACGTTGTGCAGCCCATATTTACATCAGAACGTATGTATGTTGACCGCTGGTACAGCCTCCGAGTCGATCTCGATTATCGTACTGTGTAGCCTCGTTTGGTTATGCATCACTACCATTCCCGGCGTGGGGACTTTCCCTGTGTGCTGTACCTGTCGAACATACACCTTCTCTCGTCAGACAGATAGTAACAAAATCCACCAGCTTGCCGCCGGTCCAGATCATTCCTGGAGAATCCCTATTACGGGGCGGCACCGTAGCAATCGAAGGCCATTCGACCTGCACGCATGGCATGGCCGACAGCGACCGATAGGCTCTGCGATCCCTGCGTCCGGCCATGCGTCGAAGGACCTGCAATATCCGCATGGTGCTATCGAGTCGAACCCGTCGTATGACCTTTCGAGCTCTCGTTGAGCGTGCTCTGAATGTGGCCGTTTCAGACATGGGGCAGCGTATTACACAATCACGAGCAAGATTTTGAATTACAGGACAAATGATGACTATGACACGACACAGAACCATGTTGCCAAGTTCTGATTCAAACGTCGCCCATCCATTGATAAACCGTGGACGTAATTAGGCGAGAACAAAATTGAACGTCTAGCCAACATTGAACAGGACGTTCCGGACCAAGTACACGAGTCCCTGTGCTGGTAGAGACTACAACGAAAGGTTTGCAACCCTCTCGTTGTAGTCTACTCCTGTGCTCATGTCATGCTGTGATCACTATGAGATACGTCAGCGTAGAGCCAACGACGAACATGCGTGGATTTTGCATGCCTCCGAGTCCTGCCGCCTGCGGGATACTATCAAGTCGTCCGTTGTCCCCCGATCCTACTCCTGAGAGGGCTTCGCTTCTCTTCAAGGTCTGTTCCAAGATTTTGGAGTCTTCGGCCAAGCCCAGCCACAGGGAATCGTCCGAGTGTGCCTTGGCCACCTGAGACTTGACAAATCCAACCACTTCCGTGACAGCCTCCAGCAGGTCACCAGGGGCTTGACTCCGAGCGTACGCGGACTCGCACAAATACGGAAGAATGAGGCTGAGGGAGCTCACCATGTCAGACATGGAAATGAGTGAGATCCTCAATTGACCCCTAGTGATTGCCAGTAGTAACTCCTTCCGAAGAACGCCCATCCGGAAAATGCATGCGATCAACGTCTCGACTTCCTCTTGCGACCTTTCCCACGAAGAGACCGGTGCGAAGCAGCATTGTACCAATATCCATAACAGTATGAATGCATCACCCCAGTCAACTAGCCTGTCGTCGGAGGGGCGTAGCTCCTCGCATAACCATCTTTCCACCGCTACGGCAGCTGCCATGGTAGGAGTCACTTGACGAAAGCTTCAAAAGACACGCACCATAGCGAACCAACTTCCACGGTATGACCTCGAGTTCGGCTGTGTCGGATGAGAATAACACTGCCAAGAGCTGAAGGCATCTCCTGCGCGAACCGGCTTCAGCATCTGGATCTGTCGCTATGGCGACTAAAGCCAGGAGTAGTCTATGATTAGGCAGTATCCATATGGCGGGGGCCGCGGGGGCTGTTGTGGTGGATAATTCTCCAGACGTCGAGATCAAATAATAGGGCATAACGTGTCTCATTGCACGACGAGAACATCAGCGCATGAGCTAGAAAGTCGGGAGAACGCGCGGAGGCTAATCTTGGTCTGCGAGAATAACCCCAGCTGTAGCGGAGAGATGATTTGCATCCATGTTACTGGAATACGCCTCGATGATCATGTCAACGTCGAGTTCCAAGGAGGACCCCTTTACTATGCTCTGCTCACGAGCAGACCATGTAGGTGAGCTCATCGAGGACCAGCTCTGGCGCATAGTCCAGTGACGCAAACGCAGGAACAAGGATTGGGCACGCTGGGGCGAGCGCTCGAGGGTTTCGAGGTATAGAGTATAACGATAGAGAAACCGGAACACAACGGAGTGAAGTACGCCGACAGTGTCTCTGAGGCGCTGCTTGGTGCGGAATAATGCATAGGTTGGAGGGGAGAGGTAGCAGCAGTCGCTCCAGATAATGGGCATGACCGTCGTGACCGCGACGAACAGCACGACGACGCAAACAAGGACGCTCGCGACGACGGCAACTAAACGGTGAAGGTTCCAGAGGAGAACGAGGAGGCCAGCAAAGTGGTTCAACCTGTACTGGCGGAGTCGCGCGATCTCCGCAGCGGTTCCCGAAAGTCCAGTCTGGTATTCGTGCAGCCACTGTTTGACTAAGATACCGATAGAAGCGGAGCCGAGACTGCATATGAGCGCCGAGAACCAGAGGATGTTGAGGGCGACCGCCCAGGACTCGACTGGAGGCGGCGGAACGTTTGTGAGGGGGATTGCCGGTTGAGTAGCATTGACGAAAGGAGGGTTCACGGAGAAACTGTTGAGCTGGAACGAGATTTGCTGTAACACAGCGACGGTGGGGTCTGGGGTTGGTTGCAAAAGCAGATACGATTGGACATTAAATGCAGTGACGATGGCCGAAAACAGACCCGCCTAGAAGACAGATATGTGATCAGTGACGACCTTGAAACGAGGTACCACGTACGTAGACAAGGAGCATGTCTATTTCCTCATTCCATCTCTTGACCAGCGCGTCGCTGTAGCCCTGGACGATCTTGGCAGTACTCGCAAAGGCCTTCTCCTTTTCGGCCTCTGTGTAAGTCTCCCTGAACTCCTTCCTTAATGCCTGGATGTGGACAGACTTCAGTATGATTTGATAGCACACGTGCTCCAGAACCACCTTCGAATCGGGTATCTTCCACGGAAGAGCCCCACTGCACACTGGCAGGCTTCCTTGTCCCTGCTGTCACAGTTCCGGCATCATGTAAGCGATTGGTTCATGCCCAACCTCAACACTGTACGTACCGCCTCGACTTGTGAATCTCTCTGCTGCCCCGTCAATCCCGGATTGTCGGAGACTCTGTTGGATATATCTTGACTTTGTCCTTGACCCCGACCAGGCATAGACGGCGAAACGTTGCCCACATGCTCTACCTCGATGCTATTGTGTGACGCCATGATGTCTCAAGGGTGGATAGTGCACTTGTCAGCCACCCTTCAGCTATTCGATGACATCGGAGAGGACTGACCTGGAGTTATCAGTGCTAGCGGGGTCAGAGGACAAAGGTGCGGGTCTCCAGCTTTGTGACGGCTAATATATCTAGCAGCGGGGGACTCCGCCCGAACCTTGATTCCCAAGGAACCTCGTGGCGCCGCTGAGGACACAGCAAGTTCAGTTTGCGCCCCTAGTAATCTCATGGTTGTGACTAAAAAGAAGCGCCGGCGTCGTCGGCATGTTTGAGATCCCATTGGCTACTACTGGTCAGGAACTACCGGCTTCATGCAAGCTCTGCTAGGAATGACAGCTGCATCAAAATGTTTGGGCAAGAGCACCAGACAATAGGTGAGCCGATGCGAGTTCGTAGAGGCGACAAGAGACGCACCTTATCTCTTCGTCTGCTTGCCGTATCTGGACGCCACAGCCAAAAACTGCCATAGAACGATCCCATGATACGCCCTCAATCAAGGCGGTGTCGTAACACCGCCCGCGTTCCTATCGATGCTTACTTCCCACCCACCTTCCAACCTGACAGTCGCAGTCGTGCTTGCATATACATATTCCATCCACGGCGATCGACGACGTCCTCAGTCGAGCGCGCAAGGCCAACCACATCCCTCCAACAGGCCCGTATACCTGAACTCGAGCACCCACCCGCACCGGCAACTCACGAAAGATGGCCACCGAAGCCCCTCCAGACCTCGCCTCCACTCTTTCCCCAGAAGAACTCAAAGCGATCATCGCACGTGGCTACGACACCATCGCCCCCCAGTACCTCGCATGGTCCGGCCCACGCCCCACAACGACGCGCGCCGCGTACGTCGCGCAGCTCCTCGACCTCCTCGACCCTGGGGCGTCCATTCTCGAGCTCGGTTGTGGCGCGGGCGTGCCTACGACGCAAACGATCGCCGCGCACCCCAAGAAGTTCCACGTTACCGGGGTGGACATCAGCGCCGCCCAAGTCGCACTCGCGCGCGAGCATGTAAAGGTGCCGGAGGAGGAACGGGCCGCGGAGGAGGAGCGAGTGAGAGAGATAGGGAGGGGGAGGGTGGCGTTTGAGCATGCGGACATGGCGAAGCTGCACTACGAGGAGGGGAGCTTCGAGGCGGTGCTCGCGTTCTACTCGATCTTTCACCTTCCGAGGGAGGAGCAGCCAGCGATGATAGGAAAAGTGGTGAAGTGGCTAAAGCCTGGGGGATATTTGTTGTTGAACATGAACACGAAGGACGAGGTGGTCCATAGGGAGGACTGGATGGGTGCGCCGATGTTCTCGTTCGGGATTGGGGTGGAGGGGAATAGGAGGGCGTTTGAGGAGTACGGGAAGGGGTTGAAGATACTGGTGGACGAGGTGGCGGTAGAGAAGGTCGGGAGGTTCGAGGAGACATTCCATTGGTTTTTCGCGCAGAAAGAGTAGGGAACAAGGACGAAATTACCTGAGTCTGGGCATTGAACATCCCGCGGAGACATGCACGATTCCTCAGAGGGCTTCACAGGTGTACTGTGACAAGATCATTGTGCTATCGTCTGTTCGATTGCAGCTATCACTGCTGGGTTTTTGGATGGGCACAATGAGTCGTCGTTCACTTCAAGATCGACTATAGATCACGATGACATTTATCGTCTGTCGCGAAGTGAACCTAAACTCACTGTACTCACCTCATTTACAATCAATGAAATGAAGACGTACCTCGAGATCTCATACACACGCTCTGACCCCTAGCCTGGCTCAACCGCCCCTGCAGAGATAGTATCGCAGCCGACTGTATCGAGTGGCCACTGGGATTGTACAACATTGCGACAAGAGAGCGTATGCAGATAGTCCTGACCTGAGCGTTTCCCAACAGCAGTTCCCTCTTTCACGGATTCCAATCTCGCCACAGGACTACTTTTTCTTCTTCGGCTTCTTTTTCTTCACCCCTCCTCCCGCTGGACCAGAAGGGGCCGGGACTGAAGCCGGCGCGGCGGTATCTTGAGGCTGGGGGGTGTCTTGCCGTGCGGCAGAGGGCACGGTCGACGCCTGCGTCGGTCGTCTATTTTGCATCTTCTGCATCAGGGAGAGGTTGAGCGCGTCGAAGCGATTCAGAAACACAGATGAGTGCGTCTTGAACTTCAGACACTGTCATCGTGGTGCTATACTGTCAAGATCGGCAAACAAGATAGATAACAGAAGGTGCGCACTGTCGTGTTGTCCGTGATCTTCAAAACCAGCTTCCCTGCCCCATCCGCCCCTTGCCTCCACTTCACACAATATCTCGTCTGATGTCAAAGATTCTGGGGGTCAGACGCGCGTCAGTAACGAGCAGGATAGAGAGCACGTACGGTGTTGGGCGACTTTTCATAGAGAGCCTCTGCTGCCTCTTGGTATTCCTGCCAAGACGAGATGTAGACCATGGCAGGAGTAGCGAGCAGTCTGCCTCGCCCACGGCCCTGCCTGGCGTAATGCGTCACGGGTAACGGGGTCACTTCCTGAGACCGCATCGTGTGACAGGCGCTGTCACAGCCGGGGAAGAGCGGCGGAAGACAGGCCCGAATGGCCGAGACCCCACACGATCACGTCGTTTTTGTCCCCAACGTCCGATACTGCGTTCGTTACGACTCGACTGCGACGCACACGACCTCCGACTCGGCCTTCTCTGTCTCGCACTACTATATAGCACCTGTTCGCTCCTTGCACCTCAACATCATGGCTGACACAACTCTGCAGAAGAAGCGTGAGTCCTCGTCTCCAACTCGCGGTGTACGCGAAGGGGTTGGGCGTGTATTCGGATCTTAGCTGACTCGATTCCTGTGTCGCATTGCTCTGCAGCCCTCCCGTTCGTCGCAAACTTCGCGGCCGGTGCCATTGCGGGTATCTCTGAAATCCTTACATTCTATCCTCTCGGTGAGTGGTCGATTTCTTGCGTGCCGACCCTGATGAGTCCTGAACGAGCGACGCGCCTTCAGATGTCGTGAGTACTCGTGCTGCACATGTCCCGGTTGACAGTCGCTCACGCGGTGAGCGTCGTGATTCGTTCAGGTTAAGACGCGTATGCAGTTGGAAACAGGCAAGAGCAAGCAGGGCGTAGTAGGAGCGTTCCGAACGATCATCAAGGAGGAAGGGTACGTCTACCTATGCTCCTCGGTCCACCCCATGCTCACGTCGGACACACGTCAGTTTCGGCCGACTCTACCGCGGACTCGTTCCCCCGCTGCTCATGGAAGCACCCAAACGCGCTACGAAATTGCACGTCCTCTCCTTCGCTCCGTCGCTTGCGGCCTTAAGCCTTTGACTAACTCCGCGCCTGCCCCGCCCTCGACTCATGTAGCGCCGCGAACGACTTCTGGGGCAAGCAGATCCTCACACTTGCTGGAGACAAGAAGATGACGCAGCCGCTCGCGATCGCGACGGGTTGCGCGGCGGGCGCGACGGAGAGCTTTGTCGTCGTGCCATTCGAGCTGGTGAAGATCAAGTGCGTGCTCTGACGTCATCGTTGGTAGGTTCAGGTTGTCGTGTGGGGTCCTAAATGCGGATGGACGCGTCTAGGTTGCAGGATAAGGCGAGCAAGTACGCTGGTCCGATTGATGTTGTGAAGCAGGTGGTGAAGAACGATGGTCTGCTCGGTGCGTTTAGCGTCAGCAATACCTCGCTGTGCAGTGTTGATAGGCGTTTTGTGCTCAGGTCTGTACGCGGGCATGGAGGCTACCATGTGGAGGTTAGTATTATGTTCGCACCATCCCCCTGTATGAAATTATACTGAGTTTCACGTAGACATTTCTGGTGGAATGGAGGATACTTCGGGTGCATTTTCCAAGTGCGGGCGCTGCTGCCGAAGCCAAAGGTTCGTGAGTTTACCTATTATACGATCTCACGGTACTGAGATTCTGGTACATCATACAGGATAACAAAACACGCCTGCTGAACGATCTCCTCGCCGGTACAGTCGGTGGTCTCGTCGGTACAGCCATTAACACCCCGTAAGCACGTAGCCTGTAGTATGCGTAACGTATCCTGATCGAGCGAGCATCCTAGGTTTGACGTCAGTGCAGCTCCATTAATCATTTGACTTTGTCTAAACTCATGGCCGTGCGCATATAGGTGGTGAAGTCGCGCATACAAGGCGCCAGCAAGGTACCCGGCGTCGTCCCCAAATACAACTGGACATACCCCGCGTACGTCCGGCTTCCTTGATTTCTCTCTGTAAAATAGGTTTTACATCTCGTGTTGATCCCTGACATTGAACTGAGCAGTTTGGTCACAATCTTCCGCGAAGAAGGGCCCGCGGCGCTATACAAGGGTTTTGTGCCTAAGGTTCTCCGTCTGGCACCTGGAGGCGGTGTCCTCTTGCTCGTGGTAGAGTTCACGCTCAACATCTTCCGTCAAGGTCCGTCTCCTTCCCTCCATCGACGCTGATGTGGTAGTAATGTCCGTCCTGATTTTTTGTAGCTCTTGGCCCGCCATACGTCTGAGCTGGCTTCGGACTTGAGCGTGCCGGACACCAGTATCATAGGACCGCCATGCTGCTAGTGCTGATATCTTTGGAATACGGACTGGCATCCAGGACGCTTGTACGTGTCCCTAGTCGTATTGTTGTAGATTAATTCCAGACACGTCCGCACAATCTACCCCGCATGCTTCCAACACGGAAATCACAGGAGACACTCAATTCGTGTGCTCGCGAAGTAGTGCATTATTCCTACGCTACTCCCACGGTCGGAACGGCTTCAGACGAGTAACCAAAACGAAGAGCTCCGGACACAGCCGGCACGGGACACTTGTATGTACATTCGTTCTCCTATTGCAGTAAATGTCGGAGATATTTCAACATCTGTCCGACGCCGTTTATCCGCTGCATCTACAGATTGATACAGCTCTTCGGATCTCGGATCGTTGTGTCCATGCATGCGGGTGACACCTGAAGACGCGCATGGGAAGGATCTTGCGGTGAACGCTTCACCTGCGGAGGCGCACGCATGGGAAACACTGGTGAGGCCTTAGCTTGATTGCTCTCGGGACGGCGCATCTCTTCCAACACGGCGGAGCACTGCCTTCATCGAAGTGGCGAACGTGGCCCGCTGTCCATAGTTCGCGTCCTGATCCGGCTGCCAGGTTCGCATCGGACCAGGCCCATGTACTACTGGACTTGCCCTCCCGTGGTATGGTACTAGGCTGTTGTCTGCGCTGTACCTCCAGACGCCCCTTAACTAGTCACTGACGCGAGGTGTGGCGAAGGGCTCAGTCATGAACGTTTGAACCGTTGCCAGTGGGGACAGACGTCAAACTATGCATATGCATGGAAGGGCTCTGTCCACCCGAGGCACGATAACTCTGACGGAACCCAATTTCCCAGCGAATGTAGTAATGGATGGACCACTATGAAGCCGGCATCCTGTAGAGGGCATCTTCGATCAAAATGATTCTTCCAGGTTGCCACCATCTGGCGATGCACTGTCACCATCCAAGTGTACGTATACTTATGAAGGCAGTGTTCCCATAGAGCATCTTCGATCAAAAGATCTTGCCAAGTCAGCTGGTCGTGCCACCATCTTTCGATTCTTCTCCACGAAGACCTCCTCCCCCCTATAGGAATACATGTTGCACTCTTATATCAGTATGACGCAAGGGCTACCAATGGTGTGTTCTTATCCACGCTACCTGAAACTTCTGAAGCCGGTTCGACGAAGACATATCTGACCGAGGCAGTTCATGACAGATAGCTCTTTGGCCGATGTCTCATGACCTTCTTCAGATGGCTATAGCCTAACAAGGAGCCCAAAGGCTGCACTCGTAGGTGTCGGAACGGAGAAATGGCGTGCCGCTGATAGCTCCATGATGCTCATGTCCTAGATTGCCTGACGAGAACCGGCTGATGAGGACGGCACGGACGTGCACCACTGTCAAAGCGACAGTCGTGGTCTTAGTAGAGATGCATCCTTCAACAGTGTTGTTGGAGCCTCGTGAAGTACCGCCGTCGGCTGATGCCTCGAGGACACATAAATACGCCTATCACCTCCTTTGCCTCCCAACGCTCCACCCAACTGGCCTCAACTGCAGTCATCGATGTCCTCCAATGCGACTTCCACAGTTCCAACATCACTCCCATCTGTTCCATCGCTAGATAATACATTCGGAGCCGTACTGATTGGGACGTTCCTCGGGCTCATGTACGTCTCGTATGATTAAGGATTCAGATGGGACTTCGCTAACAAAAGTGTCTGGAAGTTTGTATGGATTGACGTTACACCAGACACTGACGTACTTCAGAGTGTATACTGCGGACGCCTCCCTGATGAAGTTCATGGTTAGTTTGATCTAATGCGCTCCATAGATACTCGATCTGACCATCTACCTCTTTCTTCCCCTCAGATAATGTGCCTGGCGTGAGTCCTTCAAGGCCGCTCTTCGCACCGTTGGCTGTTGATGTTTCCAAGACTGCTGGATGCAGGAAACGCAGTCGTTACCATGCATGCTTGGTATGTTATTGGACGGGCTGATAAATCGTGATTGGCACTCACACCATGTGATCACAAGCTATTACTACCTCGTCACCAATTATCACAATCCATCGGCCCTCCCCTATGGTGTTTGGTAAGCCCTGTGAACAAGCCTAACCCCTGACCGTTACAATTGATGTCAGCACTCCATACACTACCATCAAGGTCTGTTCGAGTACGTGAACTAAACTCCATCCCATTGCAGTATGTCTAATAAGATCACTTTGTTCATCTCCACTTCAGGTATTGTCGGTACTCATGGTTAATGTCGCACCCCCTACTCTCCCGTCATCCGCTGATCCTATCACTTTCTCAGGCCGCAACGGTCTGTGTTGCTCAACTGTACGCTTCCTTGCCTCCTGTCATGTAGCAGCCTAATCGGTGATTCATACGGTTTGTATGTCAGGTTCTATGTTCGGCGGGTGTATCTACGTGGGTACCGTCTTTGATGCTCACCTCTGCGCCCCTTTGATTGAAATCTATAGTTGGTCCTGTATATCGTTACGTTGCAGTCGTCGCTGTGAGTAAATCTCTTCGAACCCCATGTCCTATTTCAGCAAATTCAATATGCCCCGCACAGGCTATGTGCACATTTGGGGCTGTCGGTATGCATCAAACAATCGTTGCAGTGGCCATCTTGCTGACAAGCCTCTGTAAGGCATTGGGGCAGGTTTGTGGATCTCTTCTAGCACGCCACAGCTTAAGCGATCTCACTGTATACAATGCAGCGATTAGCGTACAGAGGTGAGTTTGAGTCGTGTTCTGGATATTCACATCTGCTCAATTACCATGCATATAGCTTCAAGTACGCTAAATTCTCTGAGTTCAAGAACTATACTGTACGTGTCTTGACATCACTTGTCCCATATATTTCAAGCATTGACGAAGCGGCCCTTAGCGGATTGGTTCCGCAGGTTTTGGGTTTGCAGTGGCGGCGGACACCGTCCTCACAGTGGCTCTGATAATATTTCTGAGATGTCGTAGTACGACCTTCAAAAGGTGAATTGAATCAGCTTGTCTAGAGACATCTGACACACACCCTAAACTTCCCAAGAACCAAGTCAATGCTCAGCGTACTCATCGTGTACACGGTAAACACCGGTACGTTGACCGATCTGAGTCCACGAACGAAAGTTCGAATTCAATACCCTTCAGGTTTGCTCACAAGGTGGTCAGCCCTGCTCCCCCTGACCTGTATTACTTGTATTGAGCGATCTCTCGCAGCGCAATGAATCTGTTCACCCTCGTAACTGTAAGTAATACGTGTGAGGGAGTTCTTGGCAATAATGACCTACATGATATTCAGGAAGCGCTACATATGGACAACATGATATATATTGTAGCCAATATCCTTGCCATGCGGTGTAAGAACCTCGTTCCTCCATCTTTTCCTGCTTGTTCTTAATCTGTTCACAGCGTATGTGATTGCTGTGCTCACAGTGTATGGCCCTGTCAGAACATGTGTGGTCTGGGACTCACGTTGTTCTACACTAGCGTCAACTCTCGTCGCTCCCTCACCGTTTCCACAAGGGGTGAATCTGACTTCGGCACGTTCGGCCTGGGTACGTCGCAGCAAAACTCGATGCGCATCTCAGCCCGCCTTGAGCATTTCCGTGCTCCGAGGTCTGAAGGACAGGTGATCGACATCACGAGCTGGAGAGCACCTGCTGATGCTGAGATCAAGCATGAAACGCAGAGTCAGGATGGGGACGATGTCATTGGCCGGGAGGGTGTGTAATGCAAGTTGGGCATACAAGAGCAGTCGATTTCCCTGTTATTGACCTATCGAATAGCGACTTGTGACCTGCAAGCAAGAGAGTAGACATCCGTTGCTGGTAGGGAACCATGCATGTATCTGCTCGCCCGCCGGTATGATTTTGAAATGAGCTTGGCCTTTCCACCCTCTACCTGATCTCTTCATCTGAGAGCTTTCATCCCTGTCCCCTGCTTAGGGCTCGGTTTTCGGACTAGCCGCATCGCTGTTCCTCGCCGTTCTCTGTCAAAACCTGTCTATGTATGTGTTTCCTTTCTCTCTTTCACGTGGGAAACATGATAGAATTACTTTGCACAAATGTGCGAGTGAGACTGATCGACATCAGAGCCCATCCCGTGATGCAAGTACCCCCTACACACAAATCGATGTCCCATCCGAGGGGCTCGGAAGACACCATGCGAGAACTTAGTCAACGTAGCTGCGTAGCCTAGACGGGATACTTGCTTGCACTTCATTGAGATTTAGCTATATATATGGAGCACCGGGGGCTATCACATTTCCTCTGGGATGCATGGAATGGAAACCTGTCCAAAGATCCCTCCCGACGGAGTCCCGCAGTTCCCGGACCTACCAGCACCCGGTGGGTTTAGTACCTTGAGTGGGATCACACCGCGGCACACCGGTGACGGCCGCACGATCTTCTACTAAAACATATCCGCTGCGACGACGCATCTGACCCAAACATAATGACCGTGCGGGAATGCTCGCGTAGGCGCCTTCCCCTAATTGTCCCTGGGAACTCGAGCAGAAGCAGCGACGATAACACGGAGAGCGCGTCCTGCGATCGGCCTATTCGACACGAAAGCCTAGACGTCGATGCGCTCGAGCCCCATTCGTGCATGCTCGCATCGCTCGTGGATCCAAGGAACATGTACTAGATGGTGGCGGTGGGTGGTGCCGTAGGGGAGGACCTTGTCAGCACCTCGACCTGCTCAGTGCGCTCGTGCGCTGATGTCCACCTCCATGTGTCCTATCGTGCAACCCTCGCGCAATCTCCAGCTCGGCTGAGAAGTCCTTAGGATCGACATGGTAGGGAACGACGGTTTGGCTATTGGAACAACTGACAGTGGCACCGGGACGGAGATATTTTGCGGGGAGCGTTTGCGAGTGAATGTATTAAAATCGCACGAGACATGTGAACCAGAGAATAAGAGCCACAGCCGGGTACATCAGCGTCTATAGCAGGCGGGTAGCTGGTCTGAGACCTTGCAATGAGAAAGAGCGGTTTAGGACAGCGAGATGAGCGGAGACCGAGACCGAGCGCCATGGTAACATGGACAGAAAGACAACTAATTATCAAGTCTTCGTGTACAAGTATACGACACAGAAAGCACACACTCACCGCAGCGGACTCACTCTCGGAGATTGAAGGAAAGTAATTGCATGCTAGTCATTTGATCGGGAAGTCCATGAGGTGTAGTATATAAGGACTAGCTGCACAAGCCGTAGCTACATGAGATGTCGCCGGCGCACCGTTCGTTATGTCGTTGGGCCAAGTCCAGTTAGGACGAAGCACACATATCCATGCTGGATAAGGGAACCGGTCATTGAACGCAGGATCAGTCCTCATTTGAAAGGGGCTTACTATCGCATGTAAGGGGCCGTCGATGTCGCTAACGAAGGAGACAGTGTCAGGCGAAGCTTGACGTGCGGTACACAAATGACGGAACACCTGAAAGACTTGCCTGCGAAATGTCGAGGAGGGTCCAAGGGACCTGCAGCGGGTAGCAGCACCCACAACCATGCAGCATAGAGTAATTGAAAGGACGAGAGCTAGGACGATCGCTGCGAAGAAGGAAAAGTGAAAGAAGGCAAAAAGACAGAAGAAAAAAATGCATGTATAGACATAGAGGGCTCCTCACGTCGGCAGGAAGATCATGCGACAGACCCATTTGGTTGAAGAAGACGATCACGCACAAGAATTTACAAGCATGCGAGAACGCGAGAAACAACGGGCGGCGGATGGCACTCCAGCGGGAATGAGCAGCCATGACCGCGTACTCTTCCGGTGCGCAGAGCAGATGCAATCAAGAAGCAAGAGAAAGAGGCTAGATGCACAACAGGACTCACACAAGCATCGACAACGCCAGCAGTCGGAAATGACGGCTGCGGGTGTTGTGGGCGTAAGCCAGTGACATAGAGCATTGTCAGAGTCGGAGAACGAAGGAGGTTGCAACGACGCGACGCGTTCCAGGCATCGTAGAGGGGCAGTCGAACAGCGAGGAACACGCCATGTCGGGTGCAGGTGAGCTCTTAAGAGCAGTTGAACGCGGGCGGCAACGAACAGACCACATAAGCAGTACCTGGCTCACGTGACCTCTTTGCCGTTCCGAAGCGCGCGACCAAACGGTCCTTCCCTGTGCGGCGTATACTTCACTGCTAACTCGTTTTCCCGCTGGTTTCGGTACGGCCGACTGCTCCTGAGATACACATATTATAACGCTCCGGGATAACGCTCTGGGATAGCTTAGCTGGAAGAGCAATCGCCTGAAGTTCTGGAGGTCGCGTGTTTAATAGGTTCGCCCCATCAAAGCCTCGCGTTCGTTCTGATCGCCCCGGACCGGCCCACGTTGGCCTTCTTCTCTCTAAGGCTCACATCAGGGGCCGGGTTCAGTATTCCTTCCAAGGAGAAGAAGGCCGAGGAAAACTCCTGCAGCAACGGATCGAATCTGCCGACGACATGGTCCATTACGGAGTTCCTGCGGATCTCCTCGAGTTCCGTGACGAGTTCTTCCCTCAGCCAACCCCAGCCTCCACTACTAGACCGAAACCTAACCTCACGCTGGATGGTAATTCATTCACCGCTCTCATGAACGCCGAGAAGCTATTGGGGAAGACTGTTCGAGCCACATTTGTGAGTTCTGCCTGACAGTACTGATAGACACGACATTGACAGTGGTCGTGGAGTGTTAAGCCGCTGCCGTCAATGTCCACGGTCTTGCTCCAGGACTGAAGATGTCCGAGTGCGGAGAGCGGCCGGATCCCGCCACCATCAATCCCGAAAGCAGGAAGATCGATGCTGCCTTCTACAATGTTGATGATGTCCCGGACGATGGTCGACAGCGCTGGGCCGATCAAATCCTGTCATTAGAATTCAAGCGCGACGATGTCTCCTTGGACCCCTTCGACGAAGAGGAAGAGAACATCTGCAGTACTCCTACTCTGACTCCCAACGCCGTCCGCGGGTAGATCATATCGTACGCCGAGCTCATCTTCGCCGTCCAGCAGCACGTGGCTCTCTTCACGCTCGTCGTCCTCGGTACTCGGATCCGCTTCGTTCGCTGGGACCGTTCTGGAACGGTGGTCACTAGAGCCTTCGATTATGTCCAGAAATGGAATGTGTCTTGCGAGATCCTGTGGCGTATCGGCAACTGCACGATGACGCAGCTCGGCTTCGACCCTAGCGCGACTCGACTGTACCCTGGCCAAGCGGAATACAACCTGATGGACACCGCTGCCGACAACGTCGAGGGTGACGTCGTTGGGACAGAGCACGTTGTCTCTGGATCCAAGCTCCCAGATGGGCATTTCAAGTACATCATGAAGAAAGGTCAGTACTCCTTCCGAGGGCGAATTTGCAGACAGGGATTCTGACCGGTACCGTGATACGTCTCCTTTGTCGTCAAGCCGTCCTACCGGTACAGAGTCCTACATCCTCCGTTCCCTCCTTGATCCTGCGCTCAAAGGACAGGCACGCGCGCCTGACCTTGAGATGCGTGAGCTCGCGCCAAAGGTGCACATCGATAAGAATGAGGAGTTTGCCGAGGACAACAACCCCGTATTGCGGGTATCTCTGAGATCCTGACATTTGACCCTCTCGGTGAGTGGTCAACCCCTTGCGCGCCGACCCCAACGAGTCCTGAACGAGCGACGCGCCGTCCGATGTCGTGAGTACTCATGCTGCGCATGTACCAGTTGACAGTCGCTCACGCGGTCAGCGTCGTGATTCATTCAGGTTAAGACGCGTATGCAGTTGGAGACGGGGAAGAGCAAGCAGGGCGTAGTAGGAGCGTTCCGAACGATCATCCAGGATGCTCCTCGGTCCACCCCATGCTCATGTCCGACTCGGACACGCGTCAGTTTCGGCCGACTCTACCGCGGTCTCGTACCCCCGCTGCTTGGACATACCCCGCGTACGTCCAGCTTCCTTGATTTCTCTCTGTAAAATAGGTTTTACATCTCGTGTTGATCCCTGACATTGAACTGAGCAGTTTGTTCACAATCTTCCGCGAAGAAGGGCCCGCAGCGCTATACAAAGGTTTCGTGCCTAAGGTTCTCCGTCTGGCGCCTGGAGGCGGTGTCCTCTTGACGGAAGATGTTAAGCGTGTGAACTCTACCACGAGCAAGGTCCGTCTCCTTCCCTCCATCGATGCTCATGTGGTAGCAATGTCTGTCCTGATCGTTTGTAGCTCTTGGTCCGCCATACGTCTGAGCTGGCTCCGGACTTGAGCGTGTCGGACATCAGTACCACAACACCGCTGTGCTGCTAGGGCTGATATCTTTGTACTACGGACTCGCATCCAGGACGCTTGTATGTGTCCCTAATCGCATTGTTGTAGATTAATTCTAGATACGTCCGTACAATCTACCATGCATACGGAGACACTGACGAGCGTCACTTCCATGTGCTCGTGAAGTAGTGCACCATTCCAAGGCCGCTCCCACGTCTGGACCGGCTTTACATCATATCTCAACTTCTAGATCCCGTTTATTGCCCTGCGAGGCTGAGCGTCCTGGCAGGCCAAAAGTACATCGTCTGTCTACTTTAGTACTGGTGGTGGTGAGGCGGTGCATCATCGAGCCCGGGTTCGAGCTCGTGCAGACTAGCAGCGCGGGAGGGGAGTAGCGGTGGCAGCTGGTGAAGGGGCAGTGCCGGAGAGATGGCTGTGGCGAGAGTGAGATGTTCGGTAGCGTGAATTCCAAAGTCTGTCCGACACAATTTGTCCGCCGCATCGAGAGGTTGATACAGCTCTCTGGATCCCGGAACGTTGTGCCCATGCATGTAGATGATTCCTGAAGAAGCATATGGGACAGCTCCTTGCAAGAAACGCTTCACCTACAGAGGCGCATGCATGGGAAACAATAGGGATACCTTAGCTTTATTGCTCTCCGGGGGGAGCATGTCTTCCCACACGGCGGAGCACTGCATCAGCGTCATGCAAATGTTGCCTTCATGGAAGTGGTGAACATGACTTCTCCCGTGGTATGACGGTAAGCTCTTGTCTGCATCGTGCTGCTCCAGACGCCCCTTAGCTAATCACACAAACTCCAGGTGTGGAAAAGGGCTCAGTCGTGAACTATTGCCAGTGCGGACATATGTCAAACTGTGCACATGCTTAGATGGGCTCTGTGCACCTGAGACATAGTAACGACAGAACTCACAATTCTAGCGAGTGCAGCAATAGATGGACCATTCTGAAGCCAGCATCATCTGCGATCAAAGGGTCATTCCAAGTTAGCTGGCTGAGCCACTACTTGGCGAATCATCTCCATTGAGCTCTCATCCTCCCAAAACTCATGTATGTTACACTTTGATCCGGGATGACGGAAGGCGTAAAAGCCGACCTTCTCTGTGCCTGCCTCCTGTAACCTCAGGGCACCGTTCGATGAGGGGCATATCTGATCGCGGCCGTTCAAGATAGACAGATGATCATCATCTCAACACCTTTTCAGACGGCCTGATCATGGTGCTGTTGTTACTTCGCAAAGCGCAGTCGCCGGAAGATACCTCACAGACACATATAAATACATACATCTGACTGACATCCTTATCAGAGAGTGCTACCAATTCTCCACCCCACCTCGCTCCCCTTGCATGGCGATGTCCTCCAATGCTACTTCCACGGTCCTAACATTGCTCCCTTCTCTCCCATCACTAGATAACACATTTGGCGCTGTACTGATTGGGACATTCCTTGGTCTCATGTGCGTCTCGTCTGCTTGTCGCAAAAGACGGTAGTTGGCTCACGAACGTTCCCATTAGTCTGTACGGCTTGACGGTACACCAGACCCTTACATACTTCAGAGTGTACACTGCGGACGCATTCCTGATGAAGTTCATGGTTGGCTTGATCTCATGTCCTCCGTGTTTGACAAATACACGATCTAACTATCATCCATTTTTCCTTTTCTCAGATCTTTTGCCTGGCGTGAGTGCTTGTAGTCGATTCTTGACAGTTTTGGCTGCTTAGATGTCCAAGACTGCTGGACACCGGGAACGCGGTCGTTACCATGCATGTGTGGTACGTGGATTGACTAGGCTGATACAACTATCTTTGGCACTCACACTGGGTGAACATAAGCTATCACTACCTCGTCACCAACTACTTTGATCCTTTCTCCCTACTTGATGGTGTTTGGTAAGCATCGTGAGCGGAAATCCCTCTGGATGGCTCACGTTGACATGAGCACTCAACATACTACCGTATATAGGTCTATTCGAGTACGTGGATCGTGCTCCGCACCGTCACCATGCATCTAACAACATCACCTCATTCATCTATGCTTCAGATGTTGCCAGTACTCATGGTCAGAGTCTCGCTCCCCTACTCTCTTGTCGTGAGCTCACTACACGGCTTCCTCAGACCACAACTTTCGTCATTGCTCAATTGTATGCTTTCTTGGCTCTCGTCATGCTGCAACCTCAGGAAGGACTCACATGTCCGGATGTCAGATTCTACATTCGGCGTGTGTATCTTCGTAAGTACGCTCCTTTCGTGCTCAATCCCTTAGCCATACAATGAAGAGTTACAGTCGGCTCTGGATACAGATATGTTGCTATCGTCGCTGTGAGTTTTCGTTGAGTCTCACATATTTCCTCAACTAATTGAATCCACGCAACATATGCAGGCTATATGCGCGATCGGGGCTGTCGGTATGTTTCAGCACTTTGCTGCAGCCAGCATACTTCTGACAGGCATCTTTCAGGCTTTGGGACAGGTTCGTAGGAATACCTTACGCGCACTATCGCTTGAGATTTAACCGTGTCCAATGTAGTGTTCAGCGTAGAGTGGTAAGTTTCAGTTGTGTTGTAGATATTCACGTCAGCTCATCGATCTACCCTATAGCTTCATACACACCACGTTCTTCGAGTTCCAGAAATTCACTGTAGGTATATGGATATTTGTTGTCCTGTGAGTTTCTAAGTCATAAGGAAATAATCCCTAGTGGATAAGTTCCGCAGGTTTCGGGTGTGCAGTGGCAGCGGACACCCTGCTCACAATGGCCCTGATAATATTTTTGAAATGTCGTAGTACGGCCTTTCAGAGGTGCGTTAATCTGGCTTGTCGTTTGAGATGTCTGACGTTTATTTTGGATCCCAAGAACGAATTCGATGCTCAGCGTACTCATCGTGTACACGATAAACACCGGTACGTTTACTGATCTGAGATCATGAACAAAGGGTTGAATTCAATACCCCTTCAGGTTTGCTCACAAGGTGGCCCGCCCTGCTCCCCATGACCTGTGTTATTTGTATTGAGGGATCTCCCGCAGTGCATTTAATCTTCTCACCCTCGTTACCGTGAGCATTGCCTGTTATTGAGCTCCCATCGGTACCCTGAATGATTTTCAGGCAGCGCTGCATATGAACAATCTGATATATATTGCAGCCTGTATCCTTGCCATGCGATGTAAGGAATGGATTCCTTCAAATTTTACCTGCTTGTTCTCAACCTGTCGACAGCGTATGTGATGGCGGTACTCACGGTGTATGAACTTGTCAGCACACGTGTGGCTGATGTCGAGGACTTACGCTTCGATCCCTTAGTGTTAATTCTCGTCGCTCCCTCACCGGTTCCGCAATGGACGATTCCGACTTCGGGACGTTCGGACTGGGTGCGTCGCAGCAGATCTCGATGCGCATCCCAGCCCGTCTTGCGCATTTCCGTGCTCCGAGGTCTGAAGGAGAGGTGATCGGCATCTCGAGCTGGAAAGCACCTGTTGATGGCGAGGTCAAGCATGAAACGCAGATTCAGGATGGGAACGACGTCATGAGCCGGGAGGATGTGTAATGTAAGTTGGAGCGGAAAGGGTAGCCGATTCCCTCGTTTCTGACCTATTGGACAGTGACTTGTGTTCGGGAAGCAAGATGGAAGACTTCCGTTGCTAGGAAAAATGCATGTATTTACTCGGACGCCCGCATAAGTCTGAAACAGGTTTGCCTATTCCATTCGCCACCTTATCCCTTCATCTGAGAGGTCTCACCCTCATCCTCAACTCAACACTCGGCATACAGATGATCCGCAGCGCGATTCTCAGCGGCTTTCTGTTGAACTTCTCCAAACTGTCCCTTCTTTCTCAGGGTCATAAGACCCAAGACTCGCAGCGCTCGGCGCGGACGAGCGCGCCGTGATACTGATTTACCGCGCAGGTCGCTCCGCAGACAGTTCAAGCAGTCTGGAAGAGACTACCAGGGTACACGGTCGAACTCCGAAATCCAGATGAAGGCCATCCGAACACTCACTTGCTCACGCTTTTCAACGACGACCACACGATCACCGTCGAATACCGGCATACCTTGGAGGATGACGATCGGAAGTTGCGGATCGAGGGCGATGTGAAGATTTCGCGACGCGCTCTTGACGAGGTGGAGGATGTCGAGGCGGATGTTAGATCTGTGAGGTGGTGGGATTACTCGCGTTCGTGGCGCCCATCGCTAGACGAAAAAGAAGTCGTCTTCACCCTCGCAGGAAAGCAGCTCACCTTGAAGCTCTGCTTGGATTGGGCAGCGCCGTCGCACTACTTCCCTCATGTCGAGGTTGTCAGGATGGAGAAGACCACACCTGCGGCGCTGCTCGAGTAGGAAGCGGACCGATGAGGTTGATCAGACTGGCGGGGGAGGCGAGGGAGTCGCGCTCCGTTGATGCGACCGGGTCCTGGGCTAACTTGGACCCCGGATGGCCATTTTCTCGGCGTTTCACGCTTGGTTTGGGCTGATTTCTCGTCTGGTATCCATATGGTTGTGTCCTATCAGCTTGCCTTCTGTTTCGAATGACATCGGACGATCGATGTGGGCAGATATACTTGTAACGTGTTCCTAGATGGCGCTGACATTGTGTGGCCCATGCTATTCAGAGCAAAGCATCGCGATGCGACCAGGCCACAATTTCTAAGCCCAACATAAGGCTAAAGCACGCGACGTAGGGGCAACTTCGGGTAGTGTAACATCATCGCATATGTTATGTTTCCTAGAAATGACGTATGTACACCATACTTCCATATGCATTGAGCGATAGCTACAACATTTTCACGCGTGGATGGACCGCGCTGAGTGCGCGAGTGTCCTCCTCAACACAGAGCCACGCCATATCGCGCAGCCCCTGCACAACCTTAGCTCGGTCGAGTCGGCTTAGACGGCTCCATCAGGAGCCTGCACAGGCGCATGAACAAGTTCTCACAAACATGCTCGACCAGCGTAAGAACGTCAATACGATGCGTTGTGGTGATGGTAGGGGACTAGAATGTAGCCGATGAAACACTCACCGCGACACTCTGACGGGAATATCTTAGAGGACGCGCTTGACAAGGGCCAACAGTTGCCAACAGTTGGTTGGTCTGAGACCGTGCGACGTGGAAGAGCGGTGCACATGCGATGGCCATGCGGAAAGGAAAGCCGAAGGCATGTGCAGCGGGGAAGGGCAGCTATGGCGGCACACCCTCACGGCAAGTCGAAAAGCAGTCGGATGAATAGATGGGGAGAAAGCAAGAGAGAGGGGAGAGGGGAGGTGCACAAAAGGACGCACACAGGCATGACTCACGACTTGAAGTCTGTAACGATGGCTGATGACAGGGATGTTGAAAGAAAGCGCAACCGAAACTCGACCCCGGGCCAGAGCGGCCCGGGCCAGCCGCCAAACAAGTCACAACCGAGTCACATGACCTCTTGTATGTGTTCCACAAACACCAAGTGCATCGTCCTTGCGCCGTCCTAGTCCTCAAGTTCAGTGTGCGGCGTATACTTCTCCGCTGACCCTGTTATTTGCTTGCATTGGTACCGCGGACATCTCATGGGATGTGCATATCTATTTAACGCTCTCCAGCAAAAGGATGCGTCAGCATCTCGGCCTGACGAGTTATCAGAGGTCTCATCGGCACACTACCAGCACTCCGGGATTGGATCTGTCATGCCAATCGCCCAGCCTGCTCCTTAGTATGTCTTCCCCTTTCACCCCTATGCGGGTCACCTCTCATAACTTGCTCGCAGATGACTAACGTAAGTAGGTTCATGCATGCAAGTCACGGAGTCGCGCATACAAGGAGCGATCATAGTCTCCGGCATAGTCCCGAGTACAATTGTGCAAACTCAGCGTACATTCCCACATGCCCTAGCGCGGTTAAGATTGGAGTAGGCTGTAGATCTGTTGATCGCACTCCGGGCAGGGCTCAGAGATGGTGAGCTCATCCTCATCCTTGTCGAGTTCATGCCCAATGTCTTCCGCCAAGCGTCGTCTTCCCCATATTTAATGCTGTTGTTTGATGGTAACGCCCCATCTTTTCACAGGCATCCCTCAGACTGTCCTTCCCATTCGCTAGCTTTGGATCCAAGTCGTAGTCAGCACCGACTCGACTGTGTCTCTACTCTTCAAGTTGTTGAGCTACGGGTACATAGGGCACTTGTGAGTACTTGTTGTCCATGACCAACGATTCTAGCGAAGTTGTTCTGCCGCAGAATTCAGTGTCGGTGTTGACGGTCTATCAGACACCATCTCTCCGCTCCATGGACAGGTTGATACAGTTTTTGGAATTTGAATGAGTTGTGCTCACGCATGCAGTCCCGGCGTGGAGCGGAACGAGCGCGTGTGAGATCTATATTCAGTGAATACTTCGTCTGATATCATGAGAGATACAATCATTTCATGCTTAGGTGGGCCTCGCACATCCCGTCCTACAGCGTACGAGTGAGCACTGCCTCAGCGCTATGCCAGTATCGCCTTCAAGGAAGAGAGCGAACATGGCCCCACCGCCCATTCTTCGTGGTCTCACCCGGCTACCGCAATTGCATCCATCCAGGCAGATGTTCATCTTGAGCCCGGCCCGCCCGCAACGTTGCGATAGGACCCTTCCGTATTGTATTTCTGTAGACCCTCAGCCTTAGTCGCACAGACACGGTCCTGCGAAAGGCTCGGTGGGTCAATGCGGCCAGGCGTCGTGCTCTGCAGATCGAGGGACCGGTTCTGCCATTTCAGTGCAATGAAACGGGGAGCCGTTTCGACTATGACAGAGCTCGAATCGGAGGAATGTAGCACTGCCGGGATGGACCATCAGGAAGCGAGCCTTCCGACAGAACATCCTCGATCGGAAGATTTCCAGGTCAGCTAGCCGGGCGAACATCTTGCGAAGGATATCCACTCAGCTCCCCTCCTTGAAACAGCTGCCTGTGAATGGGGACCGCGGGAGTCGTAACAACAGATGCTACCTATGTCTGCTTCTCTGTGCCGTTTGACGAGGTCCATATCTGCCCACAGCATTTCACGATAGACAGATCTGTGTTTCCTATCATCTCACGAACCACTCCGTAAGTAGTACTCCTATTTTAAAGGAGCCAAGGAGCCCGAGGGCTGGACAATAAGGCCTTTGACTGGAGCCGTCGCGCAATTTGCCAAGAGTCTATTCTTTCTCATGGTTTGAGGGCGCTGATGAGGATAGCAAGGATGCAATTATTTGTGACATAGTTTAGTGCTGTTAGAACTTCGCCAAGTACCACCCCTGGAAAACGCTTCGAAGACACATATAAAAACATCTATCACTTATTGATGGTGAGTACCACCAATTCTTCACCCCAGCTCGCTCCGCTTGCATTACACAATGTCCACCAATGCTACTTCCACAGTTCCTGTCGCACTCCCTTCTGTCTCATCCCTAGATAAGACATTTGGTGGCGTACTGATTGCGACTTTTATCGGGCTCATGTACGTTCAATTTAGGGAGCAGAGGATGGTTAGCTCACGAAGGTTCCTGAAAGTCTATATGGCTTGACGGTACACCAGACGCTCACCTATTACCGAGTGTACACTGAGGACTCGTTCCTGCTGAAGCTCACAGTTGGTTTGATCTCATGTCTGCTGGGTTTCACAGATACACGATCTAACTATCGTCCATTTTCTTCTCTCAGGTCCTTTGCCTCGCGTGAGTCGTTTTGGCGCGTTCTTCGCAACCTCGGACGCTGATGCCTCCAAGACTGCTGGACGCTGGGAACGCGGTCGTGACCATGCATGCGTAGTATGTTACTGAGCTATAGCTAATGAATTATTCTTGGCACTCACACTAGATGCGGACAAGCTATCACTACCTCGTCACCAACTATTTCAACCCTTCAGCCCTACTTGGTGGTGTTTGGTGAGCATCGTCAGTCCCTCCTGACAACTCATATTGACGTGAGCGCTTCATACAACGGATATAGGTCTGTTCGAGTACGTGGATCGAAAGCCACACCGTCACCATATATTTAACAAGATCACCTCGTTCATCTGTGCTTCAGATGCTGTCGGTACTCGCGGTGAGTGTCTCACTCCCCTACTCTCTCCTCTTGCGCTCATTCTACGGCGGCAGGTCGCAACGATCATTGTTGCTCAATCGTATGCTTTTTGTACCTTCTCATGCTGCTACCTCAGTGATGACTCACACGGCTCGATGTCAGGTTCTATGTCCGGCGAGTGTATCTCCGTGAGCACATTCCTTGCCTTTTTTCACATTGCATATCTACAGTCGGTTCCGGATATCGCTATGCCGCTATCCTCGCTGTGAGTAATTTCGTGGATCTCACGTGTCTCGACCAATTGAGACGATGCCGCATGCGCAGGCTATGTGTTCACTCGGTGGTTTTGGTATGCTTCAGAGCTTTTCTACAGCCGCCATACTCCTTACAGGCACATCTCAGGCTTTGGGACAGGTTCGTAGGGATATTTGTTCCGGCACTAGGGCTTGAACTGTCTAAACGTGTTCAATGCAGCGTTGAGCGTAGAGAGGTGTGTTTCAGTCGTGTAGATCTCCATGTCTGTTCATTCACCAATTTGACAGCTTCAAGCAGACCACATTCTCTGATCGCAACAGGTTTACTGTGGGTACCTTGACATCTGGTGTGCTATTGGTTTCGAGTGATTAGGAAACAACTCCTAGTGGATAGGGTCTGCAGGTTATGGGTGTGCAGTGGCGACGGACGCCGTGCTTACAACCACCCTTATTATATATTTGAGATGTTGTAATACAGCCTTGCAGAGGTGCGCTGATCCGGCTGGTCATTTGAGAGGCGTGACATCTAATTTGAATTTCAAGGACCAAGTCAATGCTCAGCGTACTCATCGTATATACAATCAACACCGGTGAGTTTACCGACCTCGGTTCCGGAACATAGTGTTGAGCTAATTCCCTTCAGGTTTGCTGACAAGGTGGATAACCCCGCGCCCACTGACCTATATCATGGGTATCGAGTGATCTCCCGCAGTGCACTGAATCTTCTCACCCTCGTGGCTGTGAGTACTACTTGTTTGATAGCTTCCGGAAGTACCCTCATGGTGTTTAGGAAGCACTACATATGCACAATCTGATATATCTCGCAACCTGCATCCTCGCTATGCGATGTAAGCAGTGTATTCACTCATCTTTACCTGCATATTCTCAACCCGTCGATAGCGTATGTTATCGCGGTGCTCACAGTGTACGAACTTGTCAACACACATGTGGCTGATGTCCAGGACTTATGTTTTTGTCCTTTAGTCTCAATTCTCGTCGCTCCCTCACCGACTCCGGTATGGGTGACCCCGATTTCGGCACGTTCGAGCTGAGCGGGCCGCAAAACAGCTCGATGCGAATGTCAGCCCGCCTTGAGCACTTCCGTGCTCCGAGGTCTGGAGGAGAGGTTATCGACATTCCGAGCTGGAAAGCACCTGCAGGTGGTGAGGCCAAAAGTGCATTACAGAGTCAAGATGGGGATGAGGGCAGTAGCCGGGTGTATGTGTAGTGTAAGGTTGGCTTTCGATGGCAAACGATCCCCCTGTTTCTGACCTATTGGACAGTGATTTGTGTTCCGCAAAATAGAAGACTCCCGCTTGCTAAGGAAGCACGCATGTATCTACTCGCCCACCAGTATGAGTCTGAAATAAGCTTAGTCTTTCCACCTCCTCTCAGCCGTTATCTGTCGACCTTCGCCGCGCAAACAAGTCGCGCGCGAGACTGATCGACTCTGCAGCTCCTTCCCCAATACAACAACTATGAAATCCCCCACTCGTTACTGAAACTGGTTAGGCCAGAGTGACTTGAGAACTGAGGAAGAAGAATGCTGTCCCATTTATTGATCTGTCAGAACGTCAGCAGAGATCACATACGCCGTCCGAGGGCGTAGAAGACACCACGCAAAAACCTCGTGATCGGTCGTGATTTTGTAGTGAAAATATTTACGGTTACGACCAAAGGCCGACAATCTAGTAGTGAATGAGGGTCATCAAAATTTGCTTGATAACAGACTACAGTAGACGTCAAAGGTATACAAACATCTCTCACGGAAACCTGCAATCCCCGGAGTAGCCTGCCTCGCGCCGCAACACCGACAATGCATTGGCACGATCGTTCCGCCACCGTGTACACGCCGCGATGGCGTATCAGACTCTAATCCAACAACCGTGCGATAGTTTCTGCGTAGTTGCTGTCCCATATTGGACTAGTCCTCGAGTAAGGCCAGCTGCGAGAACACAGAAGACGCGTCCCGCGATCGGCCACGCTGGGAACGGAACATCGACGTCGGTACGCTCGAGCTCAAGCTGCGCATGCTCACGTCGCTCGTGAATCCCAAGGAGATGGGTCCAGTAAGAGAGATAGGCGGTGTCGCCGGGCTGCCGCAGGACTTCATCGTGCACCAATCAACAACTCCTCCGTGCGCTCGCGGCCTAACCTTCACAGCTACCATATGACTTTCCCTCGATCACGTCGCCATAGCTCAGCGTCCAGCATGCCGCGCAATTCCACAACCAGCGGAAGAACGTCGCGATGGCGCGGAGTGCACACGGTAGGTTACGACAGCCTAGCTGACAAGACACTCACAAAGCACCTCGACGGGGACATCTTGCAGGACGCGCATGCAAGCCAACATGTTGCAATAGCATGAGATAGTAAACCAGGAAACAACAAGGGCCGCAGCCCAGTACATCGGCATTCCAAGGAGGTAAACGGCTGGTCTGAGGCCGTGCGACGTGGAAGGGCGGTGCACAGGCGCATGCCATACGACAGCGAGATAAGGAGCCGACCGAAGGCGAGCACCATGGAAAACGTGTACAATGGGATTGTCAAGCATCAAGTCGTCGTGTAAAAGCATCAGTTCGTATACTTTGTGATCGCAGAGAGCATACTCACCGCAACAGGGTGGATCCGGATAAACGACGGAAAATCCCCGGCGTCCCGTCACCTCAAGGGGCAGAGTATACCGTCGGGACGAAGCATGTACATGAGTGCGGAACCAGAGTCGGTTGAAACAAAGCTAACAATCGCGAGCAAACGGGTCTGCCAACGATTTCGCCCATGAAGGAGACAGTGTTGGGCGAGGCTCGATGTGTGCAGCACTCAGAGGGCAGGTTCGGGCCACCTGAGAAGACTTGGCTACAAAGTCACTAAGGTGATCCTCTAGAAATGCAGTGGGGAACAGTAGTCGCAAGGGTGAAGCATGGAGCGAACGCAAGGGAAGAGAGCCAGAACGTTCGTCTTGTAGAGTGAAAGATGCACGCGTAGAATTGGCGCCTCTCCACGTCGGCAAGATGTCCTGCGCGGCTGAGAGTACGACCATGTGCAGGAACGTCTGAAACATAACTGAACGCAAGAAACAAGCGATGACGAAAGGCACTGCAGCGGGGAGGAGCACTCAAAGCTGCGCAGCCTCACGGTGGGCCGGAGAAGAGGCAAGGTGGGAGGTGCAAGATCATGATGGCTAGAGAGACTCACAGAATCATCGACAATATTGTTAGCAGTCGGAAACGGCTGTGGGCGTAAGGGAGCGAAACCGAGCGTTGTCAAGAGTTGAAACGTTGAACGTCGGAGGACGTCGTACAGTGAGACCACAGCACGTGACTGCCGAAGCGGATTAGCCAGCATGTTCCCACGACTGGTAAGTAGCTTCAGCCGGCCCTGAACCGTACGACGAACATGACTCGCTTTCTGCCCTGTGCTGCTGCACATATGCTCAATATCAATATTCGTGCCAAGACTCTAATATTCATTACTGGCCGTATCCTTAGCACATCTGAGCCTGTGCTGTTATGGCCCCTCGGTGCATGTTTCATGCCTTGCATGTGCCGACCTTCGATCGGTCCTGAACGCGCTACACGTTGCTGTATGTCGTAAGTCTGAGTCTCTTCGTTCTGACATGTTCGGTCAGATGTCTTCATATACTTGTCGTCTAGAGCTGCTCAGTCCAAGATCAATTTGCCTGCAGGAACATGGAGAAGACTGAGCAGAGCATAATTAATGAGGCATTTTGGACCATCGTCGAGGGGGAAAGGTATGCCGTCCTGTCACCCTCGTTCTGCCTCATGTTTGACTCCCAAGCACGGCAGTCTCTCTTTGATCTACTACTGTCGTGCTCCTGTACTGCACATCAGATTACCAAAGCCAAAGACCAAATTGTACGTTGTCTCCCGTGGTGTCGTCTTGTGTGTTGTGTCTAGTCAGCTGCTTCGACGCTCTATGCCGAAAGCCAGGTCGTCCCAGACTCGTATGTAATCACCGCAGAGTCGCTACCCCGAATCGCCTTGAGATCGCCCTGGAATTAAAGATGTGTTTTACCCTAATAGCTCGCATAGCAAGCACGGTGGGGATAACGGAGAGAGTTGTTGTTATATTGAAGAGTGCGCTCTGACGTCATCGTGCGCTGCTCGCGATCGGAGATGCCTAGACTGCGGCATAAAGCAAGAAAGTAAGCTAGTCTGTACGAAACCGTGAAGTCGATATTCATCCCATGTGAGCAACGAAGGATGGGTGCCTACTGACCGGTGTTACTTGTACAAGCCTTTGTGCGGTGCTGATTCATCTATGTGAAGTCATGTACAATCGTATGTCCTACCATTTAGCTTCGAGTGTCCTGATCTCATTGTCTTGCTCACCGATCCCCGGTGCCTTAAGAGCGAACATATGCTACGCCGTTGATCAGTGACTTCGTCCCAAGTGCTGTCATCGGCACGCTAGTAGCACTCCTGGAACGGACCTGTCATGCCGATTTCCCAGGCTCTCGACTAAGTTGCATCATGCGCGATCTCATTGTGAGTCATGTTGCACAACTCTTCAGCTAATGAGTTGCACTTACGCATGGTCCCACGCATACAGTTCACGAAGTCTCGCATACAGGGAGCCTTCCGAGTCTCGGGCAAAGTACAGAGTACACATGGACAGATTCAGCGTACGTCCTCACATCCCCAAGTGCGTTCACGACGGGAATTGTACGCCAACCTATTGAATCAGTAGACAGGCTATCACTGGCTATGGCCCGCCCAAGGGGACAGTAGCATACGCAAAGTGTTTGTGCGCGAGGTTCGCGCTTTGGTGTCATGAGCAATCGGTCATACTAGCTAGCTTTGTTTCTAGGAGGTAGCTGGCGTCGAATCCGCTGTATGACCGCTCTTTATGAGCTATCAGTATAGGCTATGCCGGAGACATGTCATACTGCTCGCACAACCTGAGTTAGCTGTTACATTTCTCTCTCTTGATACAGTTCTCCGGATCACGGAACGATGTGCCCGTCCATGCAGACCGAAGAAGTTGTTCATAGCGAACGCTACACATGCGGAGGTCATGAGAACTTGTAGTGACCTATGCTTGTTCGTTCCTGGTACGGCGCATCTCTTCCCACAGGGCTGAGCACTGCCTCGTACAGTTATGATCATGGTCCTGCTGACCATAGTTCGCGGTCTCACCTGGCTATCAGGATCGCATCGGACCAGGCGCATGTTCAACCTGACTTGGGCCTCCTCGGGACATGACAGTAACGTTTTTGTCCGTATTGTATATATCTAGATGCCCCTTAGCTCGTCACACAGATGCAATATTAGGCTAAGGGCTCGATCAGAAACCACTACGGATAGACATCAAACTATGCATATGCATGGAAGGGCTCTGTCCACCCCAGGCATGTGGCGCTGACAGAACTCAACATCCTAGAGAATCTAGTAATGGATGGACTGATGAAACTAGCGCTCTCATAGAGTGTTCTTGATTAGAAGATCTTGCCAGGTCAGCTGGCCATGCCATCATCTTTTGATTCTTCTCCACGGAGCCTTCCTCATACCCATAGTGATACATATTGCACTCTGAAATCGGTATGACGCAAGGACTACCAGTGTGCTGTTCTTATCCCTGCTCCCTGGACCCTCTGGAGCCGGTTCGACAAGGTGCATATCTGACCGAGGCGGTTCATAACAGACAGATCTTCTTTGGCCTACGTCTCATGACCTTCTTCTGATGGCCATAGCTCACCAAGGAGTCTAAAGGCTGCACTCGTAGATGTCGGGACGGAGCAATGGCATGCCGCTGATTGCTCCATGATGCTCATGTCCTGAATCCCTTGATGATAACCGGTTGTTGAGGCCCGCAAGGACGCGCACCACTGGCGAAGCGACAGTGGCGGCCGTAGTAGAGATGCATCCTATAACAGTGTTGTGGAAGCCTCATGAAGTACTTCCGTCAGCAGATGCCTCGAGAACACATAAATACGCATCGCACCTTCCTTGCTGACGAGTGCCCCTAACTGTCCATCCAACTTGCCTTGACTGCAGTCATCGATGTCCTCCAATGCGACTTCCGCAGTCCCGACCTCACTCCCCTCTGTTCCATCGCTAGATAATACATTCGGAGCTGGACTGATTGGTACCTTCCTTGGTCTCATGTATGTCTCATATGACTACGGATTAAGATGGGACTTCGCTAACGAAATTGCCTGGAAGATTGTACGGCTTGACGGTACACCAGACACTTACGTACTTCAGAGTGTACACTGCGGACGCCTTCCTGTTGAAGTTCATGGTTAGCTTGATTTCATGTCGGCCGGGCTCCATATATACACGCTAAATACCTACCCTTTTTATCTCAGATAATGTGCCTCGCGTGAGTCCTTCAAGGCCGCTCTTCGCAGCGTCAGCTGTTGATGCTTCTCAGACTGCTGGATGCAGGAAACGCAGTCGTTACCATGCATGCTTGGTATGTTATTGGATGGGCTGATAAATCGTGATTGACACTCACACCATGTGATCACAAGCTATTACTACCTCGTCACCAATTATTTCAATCCATTGGCCCTCCCCTATGGTGTTTGGTAAGCCCTGTGAACAAGCCTAACCCCTGACCGTTACAATTGATGTCAGCACTCCATACACTACCATCAAGGTCTGTTCGAGTACGTGAATTAGACTCCATCCCATTGCAGTATGTCTAATGATATCACTTTGTTCATCCTCACTTCAGGTATTGTCGGTACTCATGGTGGATGTCGCACCCCCTGCTTTCCCGTCATCCACTGATCCTATCACTTGCTCAGGCCGCAACGGTTTGTGTTGCTCAACTGTATGCTTCGTTGCCTCCTGTCATGTAGCAGCCTAATCGGTGATTCATACGGTTTGTATGTCAGGTTCTATGTTCGGCGAGTGTATCTACGTAGGTACCGCCCTTCGATGCTCACCTCTGCGCTCCTTCGATTGAAGATCTATAGTTGGCCCTGGATATCGATACATTGCAGTCGTCGCTGTGAGTAACTCCTTGAATCTCATATTTTATTTGGAGCAAATCTAACATACCCCGCACAGGCTATGTGCACATTTGGGGCTGTCGGTATGAATCAAACCATTGTCGCAGCGGTCATCTTGCTGATAAACCTCTATAAGGGATTGGGGCAGGTTTGTAGAACTCCTCTAGCACGCTACAGCTTGAAAAATCTCACTGTTTCCAACGCAGCAATGAGTGTAGAGAGGTGAGTTTGAGTCGCATTCTGGATATCCGTATATGCTCAATCACCGTACCTATAGCTTTAAGCGCGCCACATACTCTGAGTTTAACAACTACACTGTACGTACCTTGACATCATTTGTTCCATTTATGTCAAACATTGACCAGGCGGCCCTTAGCGGATTGGTTCCGCAGGGTTTGCGTTTGCAGTGGCGGCGGACACCCTGCTCACAACAGCTCTGATTATATTTCTGAGACGTCGTAGTACAGCCTTCCAGAGGTGCGCTTATCTGAGTCGTCATGTGGAATGCCTGACATTGATTTTGAATCACAAGAACCAAGTCAATGCTCAGCGTAATCATGGTGTATACGGTGAACACCGGTAGGTTTACCGACCTTAGTCACTGGACAATGTGCTGAGATTGATGCCCTTCAGGTTTGCTTACAAGGTGGCGAACCCTGCTCCTCCTAACCTGTATCATGTGAATTGAGCGATCTCTGGCAGTGCACTGAATCTATTCAGTCTCGTGACAGTGAGCACCACCTGATATTGAGCTCCATACACACCCTAAATGATATTCAGGAAGCGATGCGTATGAACAACATGATATTCATTGCATCCAGTATTCTTGCCATGCGATGTAAGATTTTCGTCCCTGCATCTATACTGAGTTTTTCTCAACCTGTCTATAGCCTATGTGATAGCGGTACTCACAGTGTATGACCCTGTCAGTGCGTGTGCAGCCGATATGGAAGACTCACATTGTTATCCGTTAGCGTCAATTCTCGCCGCTCCCTCACTGGTTCCGCAATGGACGAATCCGACTTCGGCACGTTCGGACTGGGTGCGTCGCAGCAAAACTCGATGCGCATCCCAGCCCGTCTTGAGCACTTCCGTGCTCCAAGGTCCGAAGGAGAGGTGATCGGCATCTCGAGCTGGAAAGCACCTGCTGATGCCGAGGTCAAGCATGCAACGCAGAGTCAGGATGGGGACGATGTCATTGACCGGGAGGATGTGTAATGTAAGTTGGGCCTACAAGAGCAACCGATTCCCCTGTTTCTGACCCATCGAACAGTGACATGTAATTTGCAAGCAAGAGCAAGATAGTATATATCCGTGGCTAGGGAACCATGCATTTATCCCTTCTCTCGCCGGCACAATTCTGAAACAAGTTTGCCAGTGGTCTTTCCACCTTCCACCCCATCTCTTCACCTGATAGCTCCCATCCTCGTCCCCAGCTCATGGTTTGGTATAGGTACTAGATGCATCGCTGTTCACCGCCGTTCTCTGTGAAAGCTTGCCTATGTATATATTTCCCCCCTCTCTCACGTGGGAAACATGACTGCAGCACTTGGTACAAACTTCGTGCGAGTGAGACTGATCGACATCAAAGCTCAGTACTCGTCCCCTGATGAAAATACTGCCTGTACACAAATCGATGTCATCACGGCAGAGTGACCTGATCGCTGCTAAAGGAGACTTATTTGCGCTCTCGAGCTATCCGAGGGGCTGGGAGGATACTATGCGAGAACCTCGTCAACGTAGCGGCGTTGTCGGACCGGATATGTCCCTGCACTTCATTGTGATTTGGCTATATATATGGAGCACCGGGGGATATCAACTTTTCTGTAAGATACATTAGATAGATTATCGATACAAACATCCTGACGGAGTCCCAAAGTTCCTGGACCCACCTGCGCCCAGTGCGGGGTCTAGTACCTTGAGTAGAACTCACAGCGCAACTCACCTACTCACACCGCGACATACCCACCGTGATGGCGCAACAGACCCAAACACAACGGCCGTACAAGAGCGCTGGCATAGTCGCGGGCCCTTATTGTTGCCGAGTACTCGAATAGAAACAGCGGCGAGAATACGGAGAGCACGTCCTGCGATCGCCCTAATCAGCACAAGAACATCGACGTCGTCACGCTCGAGCTCAATCCGTGCACGCTCACATCGCTCGTGGAACTAAGGAATATGAACTGGGGGAGAGCGGTTGGTTGTTCTGCAGGGCAGAACCTTGTCAACCACCTCGACCTGCTCAGTGGGCTGAGATGCGCTGGTACCCACCTCCACACGTTCTATGGCACAATCATGGCGATATCTTCGACTCGGCTGAGTCGTCCTAGCCACCCGGGGTCCCGCATGCAGTGCGCGTACGCGACCCGGCGGCAGAACGTCGTAACGGCGTGCAGTCGACACGGTAGGGGACGACACTTTGCCTAACAAACCATTCATAACGGTACCGTGGCAGAGTAACCTTGCAAGATACACTTGCGAGTGAACGTGTTTTACTTGCGCGCGATTTTCACCAGAGAACAAGAGCGACAGCCGGGTACATCAGCATGTATAGCAGGGGGGTAGCTGGTCTGAGGCCTTGCGAGGTGAAAGGGCGATGGATGCTCGCATGTCATACGATAGCGAGAGGGACAGAGACCGAGACAAAGCGCCATAGAAACCTGGACAGGAAGACAATTATTAGTCACTAAGTGTTCATGTACAAGCGTTGCCTCGTCGGCTCACTCCCGTAGATTGGAGGAAAGAAATCGCACGCTAGTCATTTGATCGGAAAGATCAGAGTATACACTGACCAGCTGCACAAGCCGTAGATGGGTACGTAAAACGTCCCCGGCGCGCCGTTCGTTGTGTCGGCAGGCCAAGTCCACTTGGGACGAAGCACACATGTCAATACTGGACAAGGGAAACAGTTAATGTGCGCAGAATCAGTACTCATTTCAAAAGAGGCTTACCATCGCATGTAAGGGACCGTCGATGATGTCGCTAGTGAACGAGACAGTGGCGGGCGAAGCTCGATGTGCGGCACACAAAGGGCAGGCCTCCTGGAAAGACTTGTCTGCGACGTGGTGAGGAGGGTCCGAGGGACCTGCAACGGGGAGCAGCAGCCACATCTATACTGAAAATATGCATGTATAAGACCTACGGCTTCTCACGTCTGCAGGAAAATCTTGCGACAGACCTGTGCGGCTGAAGAAAACGATCACGCACAGGAACGTTCAAGCATGCCTGAACGCGAGAAAACAACGGGCGGCCGATAGCACTGCAGTGGGAAGAGGCAGCCACGGTCACGTATACTCGCAGTCGGCAGAGCAGATGCAAGCAAGATGCAAGAGAAAGACGTTGTATGCACCAAAGGGCTCACACAAGCATCGACAACGCCAGCAGTCGGAAATGACGGCTGCGGGTGTTGCGGGCGTGAGCTAGTGACATCAAGCATTGTCAAAGTTGGAGGGCGAAGTAGGACGCAACGACATGACGCATTCCTGGCACCGTTCAGGGGCCCCAGTCGGTCGGAGTCGTACAGCGAGGAACGTGCAGTAGGTGAGAGCCGCAGAACGCAGGCGGCAACGAACAGACGAGTCACAACTGGGTCACGTGACCTCGTATGGCTCTTGTTCCGATGCTCGCACCGTCCTTCCTATACGGCGTATATCACTCCGCTGCTAACTCATTCCCCGCTTGTCTCGGTACCGCAGACTGCTCCTGGGATACACATATGACACCGCTCTGGATTAGCTCAGCTGGGATAGCAACGGCCTGAAAGTTCTACATACATCGTCTCGCCGATACAAAGAAGCATCGCTAGTACGCCGCGGTTGTGCCTCCGTCAGAACAATCAATCATCTTACCAATTCTTACGCCGCCTCCGGCATCACTTCGGCATTTGGCGAATTTGGAGTGCAACGCACACTGTTCCGCAGTACTCTATGACTGCCCTGCAGATCTATCCCATTGGACTAGGTACAGTGCTCCTTGTTAATGGTAGCTAGCATTGCAGGGTGAAGCGAGTGGCAGGGGCCGTTGGAGATGGCAGGGGTGGCTGTGCTTGAAGCTCAGGCCATCGAAAGTAGCTAGCTAACCACCACTCGCGTCCTATGCTTCAGGAATCGTTTTGCCGGCCCGGGTCCAATGTTGCCAGCATATTTATGACGTTGCATCCCTTTCGATTGATCCGCCTTTTGCCAATGGCTGTGCAATCTCACCGCGAACAATGGGTATCGATGATCCAGGCGCTAGTTGTGAGCACAAGCGAGCCTCGTGTCGCCTAATCCGGTATCACAACTTGAACCTGGACGGCCACCATCGCTTTGCTTTGTCGCTCCCGGGGCACAATCCCTTTGTCCGCCAGCTTTGGTATATGACTCAGAGCTCGGTCGTTGCGTCCTAGCCTTCGCCAATCGCTGCGGGCATACGTCTTCGCCATCCGGCAACGCATAACCGACTTGAACCACCACTGATATAAAACCTCTCCTCTCTCTCCTTTCCGTGAGTGATGTCGTTGTCTCTTTTCCCCCACGATGACTGACCGGTTGCATATCAATTCCGACTCTCCTCTCTCTAAGGCTCATATCAGGGGCAGAGTACAGTATTCCTTCCAAGGAGAAGAAGGTCGAGGAGACCTCCGACAGCAACGCGCCGAATCTGCCGACGACATGGCCCATTACGGAGTCCATGCGGAGCTCCTCGAGTTCTGTGACGAGTTCTTCCCTAAGCCAACCCCATCCTGTACTACTAGACCGAAACCCACCCTGGATGGTAATCCATTCGCCGCTCTCAGGAACGCCGAGAAGCTATTGGAGAAGAATGTTCGAGCCGCATTTGTGAGTTCTGCCTGAAAGTACTGTTGGAAACGACACTGACTGTGGTTGTGGTGTGTCAGACCGCCGCCGTCAATGTCCACGGTCTTGCTCCAGGACTGAAGATGGCCGAGTGCGGAGAGCGGCCGGATCCCGCCGCCATCGATCCCGAAAGGAAGAAGATCGATGCTGCCTTCTACAATGTTGATGACGTCCCGGACGATGGTCGACAGCGCTGGGCCGATCAGATTCTGTCGGTAGAATTCAAGCGCGACGACGTCTCCTTGGACCCCTTCGACGACGACGAAGAGAACATTAGCACTCCCACTCTGACTCGCAAGGCCGTCCGCGGTCAAATCATATCGTACGCCGAGCTCATCTTCGCCGTCCAGCAGCGCGTGGCTCTCTTCACGCTCGTCGTCCTCGGCACTCGAGTCCGCTTCGTCCGCTGGGACCGTTCTGGTACGGTGGTTACGAGAGCCTTCGACTATGTCCAGAACTGGGAAGTGTTTTGCGAGATCCTGTGGCGTATCGGCAACTGCACGATGACGCAGCTCGGCTTCGATCCCAGCGCAACCCGATTGTACCCTGGCCAAGCGGAATACGACCTGATGGACGCCGCTGCCGACAACGTCGAGGGTGACATCGACGAGACAGAGCGCGTCCTCTCGGGACCCGAGCTCCCAAATGGCCACTTCAAGTATGTCCGGGAGATGTTCAAGAAGTCTTTGGTCGATGGCTGGCCGCGTTATATGCTCGAGGTGCCCGCTCCGGTCGAGGCAGCCACCACTGCAACGACTGCCACTCCTGCGCGTCACTCGGATTCGTATCCCAAAGTTGACCGGCCGGTGCGCAAGTTCCTTGTCTGCAAGCCTGAATTCCGGGCAAAGGGCATGGCAGGCCGTGGGACTCGGGGCTACGTTGCTCTTGACTGTACGACAAAACGGTTCGTGTGGCTCAAAGACGCGTGGCGTGCGAACTACAAGAAGGTGGATCAAGAGGGCGTGATGCTCGGTTCGCTCAACTCTGCAGAAGTCCCCTTCGTGCCCACGCTTCTTTGTCATGGGGATATTTTGCAGCAGACGACAGCGACCCCTGACTGGTGGGAACGCAAGAACCCACTACGCTCCCCGACCTCCTCCACATCCACCTCATCGTCAGCCACCGCTTCTTCGCATACTCTGGTCGGGCCTTCAACGTCTGGGAGTCTCAAGAGAAAACATGTTGAGGAGTCTGCCGGCGCCACGTCAGCGTCACCCCAGGACATAGACGGGAATTACGAAGAGAACGATTGGCGCACGGATTGCCCCCTACGTCTGCACATGCACTATCGTCTCGCGGTGAAGGAGGTTGCCATGCCCCTTAGTAAGTTCAAGCGTGATCGCCAGTTGGTTGGCATCATCTACGATTGTCTACGTGGTGAGTGGTCGGATGTGAATTGTTACTCTGCACCGATTTTGAGAGTATCTATGTAGCCCACGAGAGCGCTGTCAAGCGCGCAAAACTCCTCCATCGTGATATCAGTGCTGGAAACATCCTGATCTATCCAACGGTGGTCAAGTCGCCTGGAAAATACTGGCTGAAGTGGTCCGGACTCCTGGCTGACTGGGAGCTGTCGAGGGCAGTCCATGAGCCCGACACTCCGAGGCGCCCTCGCCAACCAGAGCGCACGGTACGTGTGCATTCCCTCAATAACTCTACACAGACGACTGAATTGATGGGACCCAGGGTACCTGGCAATTCATGTCTGTGGCTCTGCTCTCACATGGTCTGAAAATCGTTGGAGTCGCGGACGAACTCGAGTCATTCTTCCACGTGCTGTTGTACTATGCTGTCCGGTATCTTAAGGTCAAGGACTGTGACCTTCCCACGATAGCCGGCTACCTCTACGCCTACTTCGACCTCTACGGTGTCGACAATGGGGTGTACGTTTGCGGGGACAAGAAGCGCCAAACGATCACCGAAGGCCGACTTACCGTCAGCGTTAACAAGAAGTTGGAGTTTGGAAGCCCTCTGGACACCTTGTTTTCCCAGCTGTTGTCGTGCTTCAGAGCACGCTATGCCGTGCTCGCAAAAGAAGCGGAGAAGCCTGCTACGTCGCCTCTGGAATCCGAGACGCAAGCTCCTTCCGATGACATTGGCGCCATACTAGACGAGCAGATGGCATTCATCTACACCAACAACTTGGGAAAGGAGAAACTCCCCGTGGTCGAGGCGGAGCCGGGGCTTGATCACAAGACTATAGCCCTAGCTGAGCAGCTATCTGAACACGGATCCCTGTTGCGCGCGTTTCTTCAGGCGTACGTTTCCGATGGGTGGCACGGTGCACGCGTCGAGGACAACATCCCGGACTGGTGGGCGCCCCCAAAGCAGGCTGTGCTGGCCGTCGCGGACACATCGGCCGCAAGCAATAAGAGACGCAAGGTTGGACCGCCGCCACCCGACATCAATGTGCAGAAGTACTTGTCTTGTCCCCAGCTCCCTCTATATTCTCCGACATACCCTCCCGTTACGCCCAAGAAACCTCGCGCACCTGAGACTACGTGGAACAGGAGAAATGACTAGGGGTATCGTAGGTACCTCGTAGCGTCTTGCCGCCGAGACGTTGCAATAGGGGTGTGCATCATTATTGACTACTCGTTATCTCCACACGTTACACTCCATCTCTGCATCGCTGTGTTGTATCGCTGTCTATGTGCTTCGCTCTAACATCTTACTGATCAATCGCGTACTTTGGTTACCATTTCCATTATTTACCATCTTGTCCTATTCTAGTCATTAGTGTACAGTGTAATGTCCGCTCCTCACAACTTTTCAATGGGCTCATGTACTTGGCATACCGAGGCGCGGAGGGGCAAGAATAGAGCCCGAGGCCCGACAAGGTTCACAATCAAGAGGCGCGTGTCCTGTTGACGCAGAAACTCGAAAACTCAATCGTTATATCCATAGTCCTTGTCCCCGGTAGCTCTATTCGTCTACTGAACCGCGCAGTGTGGATAATTGATGGAGGTCTCTGAATTCAGGGAAGCTTGTTGGAGTTTGCCGTCCGGCCATCGCCGAGTGACCAAATACATACAAATAGCACATCGGTACTGCCAGCTCATCATGTACCTACCTGCTCTTTAGTCCGTATGGCGACGAGCCTCTTCGGTTTGTGTTTGAGGCCTGGGTGGGGCTTTGTTCTGTCTGGGCCTGGAGAGCCCTGAGTGCCGGTTTGGTGCCCTAAACCTCTTGTCTATGCGTCTATGCCTCTCTCTCTCTCGCTCTTCCTTAACTCTATCATTCGCTCTCTGCACTCGCTATCTGCGCCCAATTCGCCATCATCGACCAGATCACACCACTGCTGCGAACAAAGCTGTGGAGTTGAAGGATCGCGTGGGATCATCTGAGATCATGAGAGATTCTAGTGACCTCACGCTGAGACGCTTCCGGATCGGTCCAACGCTTCCTACAGCGTACGGGTGAGAACCCCTTCAACGTTATGCCGGCCTTTCCTTAAAGAAGAGAATGAACACGGTCCTGCCGCCCATCGCTCGCGGTCTCACCCGGCTACCGTAAATGCGTCGGACCTGGCGCATGTTCAGCTTGTGCCCGGCCCGCCCATAACGCTGCGGTAAGCCCTTGTCCGTATTATATCTCTGAAGACCCTTACCTGATTCCGACGAAGGGCTTCAAGTTGGGGTGAAGTCAATGCAGGCGGGCGTCGTGCCCTGCGTACCCATGGAAGGATTTTGAGGATTTGAAACAACAGAACGAGGCGACACATCAACGTCATTGATGACAGAGCTTTAACTCTCAGCGAGTACAAGAATGGATGGATCATCAGGAAGCCAGCGCTCTCGTTCTTCGTTAGGAAGATTTCCAGGTCAGCTCGCCATGCCACCACATCTTACGAAGGATTTCCGCTCAGTTCCCCTCCTCCCAGCAACGATCTATTTTGCACGCTTGAGTCTGGATGACAGAAGGCGTAACAGCGCAGTTTCTCCGGGCTTGGTTCCTTATGCATCGAGCACTGTTTGGCGAGGTACATACATGATCGTGGCTGTTTATGAGGGACAGATCTTGTTTGGCTACCCTCTCACGATCTTGTCCGACAGTAGTAGTTTTCCGACTTCCCAAGGAGTCATAAGGCTGCCCATCCAGACAGGAGCTGCCTGGTGTCGCTGATGATTCAATTACACTAATGTTCTGAACGGGCTGATGAAGTCCGTGAAGACGTGCACCGCTGTTAAGAGGCACCTTATGATGGTGGTTTTCAAGTGCCGCCGTCGGAAGATGAATATAGAACAGTCACCGTAAACGCACCTGTATAGCCTTCCGAGTCCTTTCTGGTTAGTGCGCCCAGTTCTCCTACCCAACTTGCTCCATTCGCAATCGCAATGTCCTCCGATGCTAATTCCACAGTCCCGACCTCGCTCCCTCCTATCTCATCGCTAGATAACACATTCGATGACTTACTGATTGGGGCATTCGTTGGGCTCATGTATGTCTCGTTCAATTATGGACTTAGGTAGCAGTCAGCTAACGAAGGTTTCTAAAAGCCTAGCTGGCTTGATGCTTCACCAGAAATTTGTGTATTTCCCAGTGTACACCAAAGACGGCTTTCATCTGAAGTGCATGGTGAACTAAGTCATGTTCTCCGGGCTCCACAGAGGCAGGCGCTGACTACCTTCCGTTTGTTCGTACCAGATCCCTTACCTCGCGTGAGTCTGTCCATCCCATTCATCATAGATTTGGCTGCTTAGACGTCCAAGACTGCTCGTCGCTGGGAACACGATCGTCACTATGCATGCATGGTATGTTGCTGGACTAGGATGATGCATCATACAACGCACTCACGCTATGTGCGAACAAGCTATTACAACCTCGTCGCAAACTACTTCGATCCTTTGGCCCTGCTTTATGGCGTTTGGTGAGCTCAGTGAGCAGTGAGACCTTTCGATGGCTCATATTGATGTCAGCGCCTCATAGGTCTGTTCGAGTACGTGAATTTAGAATCTCACTGTACCCTCGTGTCCAGCGAAATCACCTCATTCATGGTCGCTTCAGGTGTTGGCACTACTCATGGTCAGCGTCTCAACCTCAACTATCTGGTCTCGAGCTCATCCTAAGGCTTCCCCAGACCGGAACAGTACCTGCCGCTCAACTGTATGCTTCCCGTGCTCCTTTCATGCCGCGACCTCAGCAATGACTTATGCGACTGGATATCAGATTCTACGTCCGACGAGTGTATCTCCGTGAGTACTGTACTTTCATCTGCAATTTCTGTCGATTTGAGTGAGGATGTACAGTTGGTTCTGGGTATCGTTATACTGCTATCGTCGCTGTGAGTAGATGCTTCAAATGTCCTATCTTATCGCAGCCAAATGATCGACGCCGCATGCACAGGCTATGTGCACCCTCGGGGCTGTTGGTATGCTTGAGACATTGCTGCAGCTTCCACCTTGCTGATAGATCTCTATAAGGTTTTGCGGCAGGTGCGTAGAGATGTTCTCCACATGCTACAGTTGGAGCCATTCAAACGTGACAAATGCAGCGTTTAGTGCAGAGTGGTGAGTGTCAGTCGTGTCGTGGATATCCATGTCTGCTCACACACAGATCCTATAGCTTTAAACAGACCACGTTTTCGGAGCTCAATAGTGTTACTGTGGGTCTCTTTACATCTTTTAGTTCCCTTCGAACACCGAGTAATTAGGAAGAAGGGCCTAGTGGCTCGGTTCTGCAGGCTTCAATTATGCAGTGGCTGCGGACACTCTACTCACAACATCTTCAATCATTTTTCTGAGACGAGGTCTCACGTCCTCCCAGAGGTGCATTAATCTGGCTTGTCATTCGAGACGCCTGACATCTGATTCAATCCCAAGAACCAAGTATATGTTCAGCGTATTCGTCGTGTATACGGTGAACACTGGTACGTTCACCGATTCTAGTCCATGAACGAAGATTTGAGATTGATGCCCTTCAGGTTTGCTCACAAGGTGGCCAACCCTGCTCCCTCTGGCCTATATTAATTGTATTGAGCGATCTCCCGCAGTGCATTTAACCTCCTCACCCGCGTGACCGTGAGTACTGCCTATTGTTGTGTTTCATACATACCCTACATTATATTTAGGACGCGACGCATATGAGCAACATGCTATATATTGAAGCCAGCATTCCGATTTGTACGCGATGTAAGAGTGTCGTGCCTTCATCTTTACTTGCTTGTCCTCATGCTGTCCACAGCCTATGTCATCGCGGTGCTCACAGTGTACGACCTTGTCTGCACATGTGCAGCTGATATGGAAGACTTACGTTGACATGCGTTAGCGTCAATTCTCGCCGCTCGCTCACCGATTCCGCAATGCACGAATCCGACTTCGGCACGTTCGGACTGGGTCCATCGCAGCAGAACTCGATGCGCATCCCAGCCCGCCTCGAGCACTTCCGTGCTCCGAGGTCTGAAGGAGAGGTGATCGGCATCTCGAGCTGGAAGGCACCTGCTGACGCCAAGGTCAAGCATGCAACGCAGAATCAGGATGGAGACGACGTCATCGGCCGGGAGGATGGGTGATGTAGCAGACTTCGGCTTTCTAGGGACGTACACAGGTATCCACTCGGCCACTGCTGGCATGGGTCTGAATCGACTCTGAACTTCCGCCACCTCTCTTCATCTGACCTCGTCCCCAACTCAGCACTCGGCATCCGTCCAGCCGCATCGTGGTTGGCAGAATCTCTTTCAAGCTATGCCTATGTATTCCCTTATATCTCGCTCACTTAGAAAACATATTGCAATACTGGGCACAAACGAGCTAGTGAGACTGATCGACACTAGAGCCCATTTCCTACGCCTACACAACCAGATGTGATCATGGTGAAATGACGCGATCTGTACCACCTCCTGATCTGAGATGCGGAGCCATCCGAGGGGCCTGGAGGAGACTATGCGAGATCCTAATGGACGTTGCGCCATCGTCAGACCGAATACACCCCTTCGCCCGACGGGCCAGTCCCTGCACATCATTGGAATGTGATTCTAGATATGCAGCACCGGGGGCTATCAACGTTCTCGGGCATACATTAGATAGAAGATACCGCAATGGCCACTGGCTCCGCTCGGTGCTGGGTCCGTTAACGTGGAACCCGCACCGCAACACATCGGGGACGGCCGCATACTCGCTGCGACGGTGCACCAGACCCAAACACAACGATCGTGGAGGAGTGCTCGCGTAGCCTCCGCCCTTATTGGACGCCGCTCACCCGAGAGAAGCAGTGACGAGCACATGAAGGGCGTGTCCTACGATCGATCTGGTTCAGCACGAAGACGTTGACGTCGGCACGCTCGAGCTCAATCTGTGCACCCTTACATCGCTCGTATATTCAACGAAAATGAACAGGGTGAAAGCAATGGGTGGTGCGGCAGGACACGACACGACTGGTCAGCCACCACGGCCTGCTCAGTGCGCTCGTGCGCTGATGTCCACCATACGTCGTACGCAGCCCCGACGTCGTAACGCACAACCCCCGCGCGATCTTCAGCTCTGCGGCATCGTCCTAGTGGGCCCACTCAGCATCCCACATACGGTGCACTTTCGCGACCGGCGAAAGAATGTAGGAATGGCACGCAGTCGACACGGTAGGGGACGACGATGCGACCACTCACAGTAGCACCGGGACGGAGAACATCGTGCGGGATGCGTATGCAGGTGAATGTATTGATATTGCGCGAGACAGAATTCGCCAGAGAAAAAAGGACACTACCGAGTACATAGGCGTCGAAGGAGGTGGATAGCTGGTCTGAGGCCTTGCAATGTGGAATGGCGATGCAAGCGCGCACGTCATGCGACTGCAAGAGGGGCGGAGACCTAGAGCAAGCGTTGTAACGCATTTGGACGGGAGGACAAGTAGGGACCAAGTCGTCGTGTAGAAGCGTCAGGTCATATATGGAAATCGCAGAGGACAAACACTCACCACATCGGACACCTTCTTGTAGGTCAGGAAACAACCTACACGCTGATCATGTAACGGGGAGGACCATGCGATGTACATACAGACTAGGTGCACGAGAAGCAGCAATATGGAATGTCAACGACGCACCATTATGGGATTGGAACTGGATTGGAAGACAGCTTACCATCACGCGCAAGGAACCGTCAACGACTTCGCGATGAAGGAGGCATCCTCGGGCTATGTTTGACGTACCGCACAGAGGGCAGGTCACACTCGGAGATAGGTTGCCCGCAGAATTGCGAGGAACGTACTCAGAACCTGCAGGGGGAGCAGTAGTCGCAACTGCGCGGCATAGGGTGAACGGAAAGGAAGCGAGCCTGAACGATTGATGCGAGGGAGGAAGGCGAAAAGGCGAACAGATAGATAAACAAGATGCACGGGTGGAACTGAAGCGCTGCCATGTCGGCAAGAACATCGTGTGGCATAGCGAACGACTCGGACACGCACGGCTGAAGGAAACGACCGTGTATGACAGATATCCACAAGATCAACGGTCGGCGACGACTGCGGGCATACCAAGGTAGTGGCAATAAGCGTTGTCAGGTCTTGAAGAGGGTAAAGGAGGACGGGACGATGTGACCCATCCCTGGCACCGTAGAAGGGCAGTGTTAATACTACGAAGTACACGCCGCGTCGAGTCCAAAAGGTGAGAGATCAGAGAGGAGCAAGCTGACCGACGGAGACCCGGGATGGGGCAGTTCGTCAGGTCACAATGTTGCCACGTGACCTGGTAAGCGTCAACGTGGGAGTCGCCCTCAAATTGTGTCGCGCCGGCATCGCCATTTTGATGAGGCTCATCTCTCTCACATTACGCACTTCCGGGATGGTACTACCTCTGAAATTGTGATTTCAATGTATTAAACTCTTGGTGAGGCCGCCCCCCATGCTATCTTGCCGCGGGCATGTTCGCACGGGAGCAAGTCTGGCGTCGTGCATCCACTACCCGAAGAACCACTCGCTCTCAGTACTAGCCGCAGAGTACCATCGAATTCCTGCAGCTCTGGGGACGCAATGCCTCGCAATAATATTGTGTAACGCTGCGAATGACTTTTCCATCCTAGCCCGATGGACTTGGTCTGTAGCAGCTAGTGCAGAGCGTTACAGAATAAGGTTGCAACTCAAAACAATATCAATGCGGCCTCTCGAAGGCATTGACGGGGCGGACAAATTCTAGGGCTGCCATCCTGGTCGCCCGCTATGTCTCGCACTCCTCGGATGCAATGCCAACAAGTCTCTCACACCTCCACAGCCGACCATGAGTTTATCATTGAACAGCAACTGTCTGAGATGCCCCGGTGTCTATGTTGGGTTAGGTAAGGCTGAACGGCGACGCGGCCCGTTTTTCAGTGCAAAAGTCGTCCATATGATACAACAGGGACCACTCACAGCACCGAGATGCAATCTGTGGGATAGCTCGAGGAGAGTCTTGGCTGAGAATCAACGCTTATATCGGAGCTTCTGTTATGTGGTTGTAAGAAGCAACCTCCAAGACTTACACGAGTGTCGCTCGCCTTCGGAGACAGCTTGGATGCGTTGGTATTCTTCTGCCGCCCATATACCGCTAGTAAAACAAGCCGAAAACCTTCAGACAACCGCGCGCGGTGGGCTATGGTTCTCAATTATTGAATTAGTCGCCCCGAACCGTATCATGACAAGATGCATGCCTGAGAACGCGATGAGTGCATCAGCTCACGGGCGCCGTACTGGCTTCCCAGCATCACAGCCGCTTGGTATCTTGGGAACAGCCCATGGTGAGGAAAGACGCCGGATGTCAGTGAGTTTTCGATTCAGGACTATTGTTACAGCATCTATCTGGGGTGTTTTGATTCCGAACCGTAAGAACACTCATATCTGAGGTGATCTTGACGTGGTACCTTTGACGAGGTCGACAAGAGGGTTCATTTGTATGACACCCGGTTTCTACTCAAGTAGCCTCGCCACCTACCAAGCCTTGAGATGCAGCTGAAGGCCACGGAGAATTTTACACATCTTGATAGAGAAGCCCAGCGCATCATATCAAGATATCTCAAAGATGAAGTGACGATATATAGCTGCCCATACTACAACCCCATCCCCAGTGGGTGCTCTGACTCCCACCTCTTGTCGTATCGCCCAAATTATGTCCACCGACGCTTCAAAGATGCTCTTGGCTACCCTTCCACCTGTGCCTTCACTTAATAGCACGTTCGGTGCCATGCTGATTGGGACGTTTACCGGGCTCGTGTAAGCGACATTTTCCCCGCATCAATAGGGTCAGCTAAATTCTCTTTGCCAGATTGTACGGCCTATCTCTTCACCAAACCCTCCATTATTTCCTCACATACACCGGTGATACACGCCTCCTTAAACTGATGGTACGTTTCACAATCCACTAAACTCATGTATAAGAGTAGCCTATACTCACGGCTGATCACAGATATTTTGTCTCTCGTAAGTGAGCATTACTCCTGCAGATCATTCAGTTATTGAGGTGTTTGAAGGTTGCTAGATGTTGCCTACACGGTCACTTCTTCGCATGCATGGTACAAACAGTCTCTCTTTCATACCATTGACTATACCTGACCGAAGTTCATCAGCTATCACTACCTTGTTGCAAACTATTTCAATCCCCCTGCCCTTCTCTATGGTGTATGGTAGGTTGCATACAAACCTCCCATAAACCACCATATGACTCAAGGTATGACTTCCCAGGTCTGTGCGGGTATGGACTTTTCTCTCCAATTGGGTGGTGCATGACTTACATATCTCTGTCGCTTCCTGATAAGCTCTTAGTACCGATTACAGTAGGCCCTAGCAATTGCAGTCTGAAAGCCTAGCTCATGTTGCTGCTTGTCAAGGGAGCAACCATCGCCGTCGTTCAATCGTGGGTTTCTGATCCTCTCAGAACAACCATGATGTGTGTTTATTCATGCACAAAACGCCACAGGTTCTACATTCGCCGAGTGTATCTCCGTATGTCTGACCCGAAACTTACTACTCAAGTGAATCCTCAGCTCTATTGATACTGATTATTGCAGTCGGATATGGGTATCAGTATGTTGCTATCCCTGCTGTGAGTCAGACGCGTTCGAGCATTTCGTTCTCTGTGTCCATGTGTTGACTTTGTACAAAGACTCTGTTCATGCTTTCCGGCACTGGTAAGTAGTATGAGACCTATATGTATTGCTATCGCTTTGATAGGCCGCTTTAGGATTTGCTATAGGTATGTATCACTGGATTGTTTTGTCTGCTTTGTCTGCTGAGCATCATTCACCACAGCGTGTACCGTTGAAGCGTAAGCTATCGCTGAGTTATATGGTGATTTCCCAGCTGAACGCTTCACTACCATAGCTTCTCGAAGACGACATTTGTTGCTTTTAGCCGGGTGGTCGTGAGTCAGTTCTACTCGTGTTCATAAGTCATATATATAGCCTACATCATAGTGGCTTGGTTCCTCGACCTGGGGCTGTGCAATGGCGGCCGACATCATGCTCACTAGCTCCCTTATTGTGTTTCTGATACGGCACCGGACCCCTTTCAAGAGGTGGGCGTGGAACTGGGTACGCTTATGTTCATTCAGAAGCTGAAAGGGCGGAGGAATCACAGGACCAATTCCATGCTCAGTATTCTGCTTGTGTACACAGTCAATACAGGCGCGTCCGTCATGTATTAGTATGAGTCGAGCACTATCTGAGATATGCTTCACATCAGGGTTACTCACAAGGTGAACAGCACGAATTTACCGCTTCTTATTAGAGGTTGACGGGGCCCACAACAGCGCATTCAATCTGCTGACTTTGATCCTTGTGCGTGCCTTTCTGATGCTCTGCGTTCAACGAGTCCCTCTTTCCTAGCCTCCCCGATGCACAGGAATCGCTCAAGCCAAACAATATGCTATACATCGCTGCCAACACGGTCGCAGTTAGACGTGAGATGACAAGTTTCTGCTGGTGTCCACCCTTCGTAACTGACCACATACGCAGTGTACTTCATCGCCGTACTCACAGTGTATGTTCCAACGAACGTGCGAGGCTGGCCTGCGATGAAGAGCTCATACTTAGGTCCAACAGCCTAAACTCCCGCCGCTCTCTCATGAGCTCGACCGCTTCGAGCGACGGGGACTTTGGCACGTTCGGTCTCAGTGCGCCCCAGCAGAAATCAGTGCGCCTCCCAGCCTCAGCAAGGCTCGACATTCTCCGTGGGCCCTCGGGGTCGGACGGGCCCGTGATCGACATCGGAAAGTGGCAGACACCTGCTGCTGAGCAGACGATAGATCGGTACAAGGTCAGAGATGGGGACAGTGCGAATTTGCACGAAGGCGTCTGAGTTCTCAACCGACGTCGTTCACTGCAAAAGGAGAAGAATGAAAAGGGTGCTCGCAATGCACACATGTTGGGTATACTTTCTCGAGTATCATGGGGTTTTGTGGCCGCGCCGCATGCCTCGTCTTGCTATAATTCGCATATATATTTAGGTCGTTCGGAGTGCTGAGAGAGACTACAAAGTGAAGGCTTACGGTACATCTTCATGACTAGCTAGGATGATGTGAAGTTTACGATGCGAGATTGCCTGGAGAGACGCAACCATCAATTCTGCGCTGTCCACGGCCATTGAAAGCTATCTCCAGGTCAGTACAGAATATGTAATCTTCGGAGTGAAGCTATAGTACCGAGAGACGACGGACTCCACGCTCGCACGCGCGTGGGTGGAGGCGGTCAACAGCGGAAGTGAGATCACTAACACGAACGATCACTAACCGGAACCCCAGGCTGTCGCCCGCCGCAGCCGAGACTTACTCATTATACTTGACAAGCCATCTCCCGTAGTACGAGTTGCCGGGCTTGCACGAGTGGGATCCCGGACATGTCATGTTCTATGACCTCCATGGGGTCCGGCACGATAGCATACGCCGCCGCCCACAATGTATGCGCGGTATGGTGTTGCACCAAAGCACGTCCACAGGCCGAGGACGACCTCCAGCCAGCAATGCCTCAGAGCCACACGCACAAAGCGATGGTATAGACAACGTCTCATTGGGACCTGCATACACGCGGTGAGTCTGTGGCGCCCAACGCGCGAACATAACGTCCATGCGCAAGACCCATGTCCACCGGGCCATTCGCGTATGACATCGCAACGGGCAACAACAGAACGCAAGAGCAACAGGGAATAGGGATATGAGCACAGTACATAGATGGATGGCAAGACGTAGAACACAGACGTGATCGGGGATCGTGTAGAATAAGATCGTATGGCAACATAGCGAACGCGCATGTCCCGGTCTCTAAACTGGGCCCAAGCCGAGGTGGCCTGGGCGCTCTAGGAGCTTGAATCGGACGATGGGATAACGTCTAGGTACGGTACGCCCGACGAAGCTCGAGGAGTGCGCCGCGCGCAGTGACGCGCGCGACGCGATGCAAGAGAGAGGCGCGGAGCGTGACCGGAGAACTCACAGTCGCAGTCATGAGAGAACAAGACGTCCGGAAGGCAGGCGAGGGACGTAAACAAGGAGCGGCCCGGGGAGGCAGACGAAGCACGCTCGCGCTCGCGAACTGGTGACCTCACACCCACGACCCGTGGATCATCGCGTCCCACGACTTGCTCTTCGACTGCAGCGCCTCGAGGAAGTGCGTGCGCGCCCCGGGGGTCATGTTCCCCGGCACGCCCGCGCCCGCGACGGCGTCGGGGGCCTGCGGGTGCGGGTCGTGCGCGGGATGCAGGTGCGCGGTTTCCACGCCGGGCATCACAGGTTGCTCGCTCCCGCTGTGATGGGGCTGATGGTGCTCGGTGCGTAATGGGTGGTGGTGCGCGTGGTGCGGGTGCGCGACGGTCGGGTTCGGGATGGGCGGAATGGGCGACGGGGCAGGGTGCGAGCCCGAGTTCGAGTGCGAGGGGGAGAGCGGGATCGCAGAGTGTGGGCAGTGGTTTGAGGGGGAGGCGGTGCCCGAGGTGGTGTTCGAGCGGGTCATTTGAGGGCGTTTCTGGGGTTGGGAGGTCAAGGACGTTCTCTCTCCGTGCGCAAGCAGGTGCGCAGGGACGCATGGAGGGGAGTATGCAGGGAAGGCGGACTTACGGGCGAGAGGATGGTGCCTAATGCTAAGCGGAGGCTCAGAAGGTGAGCGTCGTCGCCGCGTCGGTGGTCGTCATGTACCGTCTGGAATGTATGTTGTTCGCTGTGAGCTTCTGCCGGTCTACAGGATATCAAAGATGGCGGATACTGACCATGATGAGCTGGTTGAATTTTGCTTGTCTACGTCAATAGATAGACAGACAGCGTCCTGAGTGCGGGCAAAGTAGTCTAAATGTGTTAGACTAGGATACGATAGATAATGACGATGAGCACGGGGGCGAGGGTCAACGTGCGGGGACGGGGAACGTTGGCAGGGGATGCTGAAGGGCCGTTGCAGGTGGTGGTGTGTGGGATGGGAGGAGAGAGGGCTCGTAACAAGGCATGTTGGTTATATCAGCTGGCCCCACGAACCCGTGCAGACGACGTGAACTGGTGACCAGACATTAAAATATTGAATGGACGAGAGACCCGGGACGAGGCCTGGCGGTGGCCACACACCCAGCCCCGGCTCATCGTCGGCAGCCCCACCCCCGCGCTGGCCAAGTGCGGGGTATCCAATCACCAGCGCTTCTGCCTCTCCTCCAGGGTCATGCGGTTATCCGCATACGCCCGCACTCACGTCCTGCGACTCGGACGACCTACTATCTACTGAGCCGCGGCAACCAAAGCGACGATCCGGCCACCGCTGGTAAAGTGTGGACATTCGTCGGAACGCTCGTTCTTTATCATTGACTCGGAGGACTGTGTTTGACCTCCAAGGTATTGACTTCTGCAAGAAGACGCGACGATCATCGCCAGATCCTACTGTACTCCTATCTCCCCGGAGTGTGTCGATGTCCACTCCTGCAGCTTCAGAGAGTCTACAATTCCACGCATTTGGCTACGTAGCCACGCATGCACGCAGTCGCGCGTTCGCTTTTGCAGTTACAACACGAGTGTGCAGTCGTGTAAAATCGCGGAGTCGGGTCAGCGACGCTAAGTACTCTATTCTAAGTCCTTAGTGGCCCCTACAGCAAAGTCCTTTCCATGCGCAATGTAGATCGACTATGATCCAAAATTTCTCTACTGTCCATCCAGTTATCGATACGCGCAAAACGAGTCTACTCAAGGGCTTTGCGGGATGTATAGACTTGAGCCTTGCCCTTCGCCCGACTCCTGCCGGAGGGCGCCCCAGTTACCAACTTACAATAGACGCGCAGTTACACGACAGAGCTTGGCGAGCTTCGCCATCAATCGACTGCGTGAATACGTGGTTACCCAGCATGCTACGTAGCCAGTGAAATCGTAAACGTTCTCTGCAGCTTCGTCACATACAACACTTCTACATAGCGCGATTTCGACTCTAGTCTACAGACTGACTGATACATGAGCGTTTTCAACTGAGTCGCATAGACTCTAAGCAGCATCCCCTTTCTTTTCGTACTTACCCCAGATAAACAATTCTACACGCTCAACTCCGCCTTGCCCGCCTTCCCCAACGCACTCTGCAGCTCTGCGTCCGCAAGCGCAGGTCGCACCCACTCCGCAAGGAACCTGTCCACCTGCTCCGGGGCACGCCCCACGAACGTCTTCGGGTCGAGCAGCGCGTCGAGCTGATCCTTGATCGGGTCAAAGTACGGGTCCTTGCGCACGCGCTCGATCAGGTCGTTGTCCAGCCCGAGCTGCTTTACTTGGTGCGCGGCCTCGTGTGAGAGGACCTGGCAGACGTGACCACGGTCAGTCAAAAAGGCTCGCTCGGGGACGCCGTCGGAAGTGAGAAGGAACAGATTCGAACAGTGGGCCCAGAGCGTCCTTCGCGAAGTGCACGGTCAATTTTGCAGCGGCCACGAGAGCATGCTCGTGCCTGAGCCTTGCGCCCGGAGCGTATCCCCAGGAAAATAGACATAGACGAACGGCGTACGCACCCGAATCTTCTCGTGCGCCTCCTGGCGGTCCCCGCCCGCCTTCACGATCGCCATGATGATGTTCTCCGTCGCCATGAACGGCAGCTCCTGCGCGATCCGCCGCGCGATGACCCTCGGGTACACCACCAGGCCCTCCGACACGTTCTGCAGCGTCGTGAGCACGATGTCCGCGGTGAGGAACGCCTCGGGCAGCGTGATGCGCCGGTTCGCGCTGTCGTCCAGCGTGCGCTCGAACCACTGCACGCTCGCCGTCGCCAGCGCGTTCTGCTGCAGCGTCATGAGGTGGCGCGCGAGCGAGCAGATGCGCTCCGCGCGCATCGGGTTGCGCTTGTAGGCCATCGCGGAGGACCCGATCTGCGTCGCCTCGAACGGCTCCTCGACCTCCTTCAGGTTCGCGAGCAGCCGGAGGTCCGTCGCGAGCTTGTGCGCGGTCGCCCCGAACGAGGCGAGCGGCGCGAGGACGTCGACGTCGATCTTGCGCGAGTAAGTTTGCGAGGTGACTGGGTAGGCGTACGTGAATCCCGAGAGGGCGGTCACTCTGCGGTCGAGCTCCTCGACCTGACGTGCGCGGCGTGAAAATGCAGCAGAGCGTAAGGTGCCCGTGAGACACGCACCTTGTCGTGGTCGCCGTCGAACAGGGCGAGGAAGCTCGCCTGCGTGCCCGTCGTGCCCTTTACGCCACGGAAGCCGAGGTCGTCCCGAGCACGCTTGAAGTTCCGCAAGTCCCATAGCAGCTCCTGCTCGCGCGTGAATCAGTACTGGTCAAAAACTAGGCTATAATCCGGGAGTCCATACCTGCAGCCAAAGCGTCGCGCGCTTCCCAACGGTCGTGAGCTGCGCGGGCTGGAAGTGCGTGAACCCGAGGGTGGGCAGGTCGCGGTACTGGTTCGCGAAGCTCGCGAAGCGGTCGATGACGACCGCGAGCTTCCCGAGGAGGAGCGTCAGTGCTTGGCGGATGAAGATCAGGTCCGCGTTGCTAGAATCGGATGCGGGATGTCATGCTCGGCTGCTCTTGTTTCTCGGAGATTTGGAATGGGTGCGTACTCGGTGACATAGCACGACGTCGCGCCCAAGCTATCCAGGGGAGATGGATGTGCTGCATGAGAACATGGAGGGGCGCAGGGGGATAGGGACTGACTGGATGATGCCCGCGGCGGCGGGTGCGACCTGGCCGAAGGTGTGGACGTGCGCCATGACATCGTGGCGTCGCTTCTTTTCCTCTGCGGCGGCGATCTCGAACTGCTTCTCGTCGAGGTGCTACAGGCGCAAGGGATGCCTGAGTCGACCGGCGGGGGCGCGCATGGAAGAAAGAGAGCGAGACACACCAGGTTCGCCTTCATCTGCTCGATGGCCTCGTCCGTGACCGGCAGACCGAGCTCCTTTTCCGCGATAGCGAGATTCAGCCAAAGCTTCCGCCATGTATGGAAGCGGTTCTGTGCCACGAGGCGGGTCTTGGTGGTCAGAGTCGATGTACACGACATGCACAACGGATGCTCACGGCCGCGGAGAAGAGATGGGCCATCTCCTTGCTTGCATATCGGCTGGGTTGACGCAACCGTCAGGATGGTGCTGCTTTGGGTGAGTGAGTGTAGGGCAGTAACCTTGAGAGCGGTGTCTGGTACGTGTCGAAGGCCTCCATGGTCGCGGACAGAAAAGTGAGTAAGGCCCTTGTGAGTCGCACTGACGGAGGAGGATTTTACGATCTAGCCGATCTTATCGTCACGCTCGGAAATACTATTGTGAAAGAGTGTCACAATAAGTTGTTGGGAAAACCCACAGATAGCCGAAAGAGGTTCCTTGAAGAGACCAAACTTGAGTGGCAGTTTCTTGCTCGACACTCGGGTTATTGAGTAGAAATCCGGTACTTCAAGCGGACTCAGACCGACAAGCATTCCGCCCTGGAGGAAGAGAGGTTGTGACCAACTGGGTCACGAGTGACGCAGCTGCAGGAGGGGACGGGCGTGTCGGAGATGAAATCGGGCGCCACACTGGTTGACTTCTGACCAACAACTTCAACCACCTAACCACATCCCCTCCTGCTCTCGTACCAATGGTACGTCTACAGATCGTCTGTACAGGGCCCTAGCTTACCTAGGACGAGGCCTCCTGTAGTCTGTTCCCCCCGCCGTCCTCCGCCGCCTGATGCGCGAGCTAAGCGAGCTCCGAACCAACCCCCCTGACGGCATACGCATCGTTGTCAATGAGGATAACATGCTGGACGTGACGGGCATCGTCGAGGGTCCAGGTGCGCTCCCTCCCGACCTCTCTGTGTTGTCCGACACGCTGATGACGCGTCGCATCCTCGTCGCAGAGGGCACGCCGTACGCGGGTGGTTACTTTAGGGTTAGGTTCAACTTCACGGAGGAGTTCCCCGCAGCGCCGCCAAAGTGTACGCACGCGCCCCGCCATGGGAGGGTTCTTTGTCAGAGTTCCATATACTGACACGTGCTGCGGTGATTAGGCTGGTTCGCCACGAAGATCTTCCACCCGAACGTCTCGACCGCGGGCGAGATCTGCGTAAACACGCTCAAGAAGGACTGGAAGTCGAGTTATGGGATTGGGCACATCCTCGTGACGGTGAAGTGTCTGCTCATCTATCCGAATCCCGAGTCGGCGCTGGATGAGGAAGCTGGGAAGCTGCTACTAGAGGATTACAACAGCTATTGTGAGCGGGCGAGGCTCATCACGAGCGTGCATGCGACACCAAAGGTACGTCTAGGAGCCCCTCACGCGTGTTCGAACGAGGCCTCAAGGCTGCGCTCAGATACGTCCCACGGAATTCAACACCCCGTCAAGCGCCGAGGCCTCATCCCAAATCTCGACCCCACCTCCTCCCGTCCCCTCCACGTCGTCTGCTTCCCCTGCAACCACATCTCCAGTACCTGCGACGAAAGCAGCACCGTCCACTCCCCCGCCACCACCTGCGTCGACAAACCTCAAGTCATTCTCTCCGCCCTTGTCTCAACCTCTCCATCCATCGACGCCAAATACATATCCATCTTCGACGTCTCCATCTGCTCTACCGACCGAGAAAAGCACCTCGGCAAAGGAGCGGCACGTATCGCCCTCGCCGCTCGGCACGGCAGATTCGAACGTCGCCGTCGCACTGCACGCGAACCCCGCCACGAAGGCCATCAAGCGTGCGGCAGTCCCGAACGGCACCGGAGGCGAGAAGCGGAAGAAGGCGCTCAAGCGGCTGTGACGCTGTCAACCTTTTTGCGTCTTCCTTGCGTGTTGGATCCCCGATTCCGATTCGGGCACATCGGCGCTGCGCGATCCTATGCTGCTATGTGTATATGCGCGGCCTGACGTCTCTGTGGGCTGCAAGGCTGGATCTGTTGTTTTATGTACGTGTTGTTATGATTACATGCTGTTGTTTTCCGTCTTCCACGATGGTTCATCTCCGCGCTCCGGGAGGCCGGAGCACGGCATCGTGGTGAGTGTCGATTCTTGTCATTCTTTCTAGACAGGCGGTGCATTTAAGTGCACTTACCTGTACAGCGTCCGTAATGTGCTGGAGATCGAAGTCGCTGTCAGCCAGATTCTATTCCCGGCTTCGTGACCGGCGATGTACGCCACAGCCGCATGGCGTACCTCGCGACCACTCCCTACCGAAGTTCGACGCCGGGGGTGTGCGTGCGACTGACACCGTATCTGGTTCAAGCCCGTTGAGCCTTGCGACTTCAAATCAGCATTGGCACTGCGCACATGTGGACGACTGTCTACTCGCAAGCTCGACAAATGAAGCCCATTCCAACTTTCCCTTTCAGAAAACTCTAGCCTGTCATTTCCACTGTCATGTCTATGCAAGTCAACAACCCTGGGCAAGACTCATTCTATATAGTCATACGAACCAGCCCTCTATGACAATGATAGGCCGAGTCGTGTGAATCACTTAACGAGGCTACATAGAGTGCCGTGAGCGAGAGGGTCATCGGTCTACCATACACCTTCATCTACAGTCCGAATTCGTTCGGAATGATATCCTGCAATCTACGACCCAAGACAGTCCCATTGTGCGCCGCAGACCATAGCGTTGTCGTTGTCCCGCCAATAGTAAACGTAACTTTCTGGACCAAATCGCTATGGTCGGAGAGCGTCGCCAAGCATGCTCCATCGCTCGTCCTCCATAGCTTCACCGTCTTGTCAGAAGATGCAGAGGCGATATACTTCCCACACGGGGAGAAGCACGCACTGTACACCTCCCACTGGTGCCCGTAAAGCGCCTGGACCAGGACACCAGTGCTCGCATTCCATATCTTCACCGTCGTATCGTTCGACACTGAGAGCAGCAGTTGACCGTCCGGGGAGAATAGCACATCGTTCACCCAGCGTTGGTGCGCTTTCAAGAGCAGAGGCTCCTGTCCAGTCGCCGTGACCCAAATGTGGATCATCCGGGTCCGATATCCAATTGCGACGTGTGTGCTCGAGGGACTGAATGCGGCGGCGACAGGATGCTCGCCCTCCCCAGTTGGCGGAAACCGAAGTGCCAGGTATGTGCGGGACACAACATCCCAAATGCCACAAGCCTCCCTCAATTCTTGTACTTTTTTTTTCCTCGCCCTCCTGAGCCGGCGCCTGAATTGTGATGGACGATTGATGTGACCAGAGGCCCCTTCCTGAGCTTCTCCCCCGCGCGAATATACCTCATAAAAAACAGTACACCATGGCTAGAATACAAACTCAGCAACTGAGCTGAGGAGAGGTCAATGAGCGGCGGAACGACGACCGACGCTGTATACTAAGCGAGGCGGGAGGGCGGGCGGGCGCTTGCTGCTTCAATAGGTGAGATAGCCGAATGGCGCGTCGATGGACATCAGTAAACCGTGCAGTCCCTTAATGACTTAGCGCCTTAGGCCGCTTAGCTCTCCTGCACGTAACTCGAAGTTGCTCACCCTCAACTCCATAGAGTGTCTTTTTGCTGGAGCAGAGTAAAGTGAAGAACCATTGTGATAAACTCGGGGCTGTGAAGACAAGGATTAGATCCGACTAGAGTCGAAGCAAGATCTTCAGTCAGTAAGGAAAGACTATATTGCAGCAACGAACTGTACCTAGAGTCGAAGCAAGACTACAAAGGTTAAGTAAGTAACTACAAGTTAGAGGTAAAGGTAACGAAGTACTCACTCTTCAGTCAGTAAGGAAAGACTGAAGAGGGAGGACGCAATCTGAAGTCCTTATATACTACAGAGAAGTGTCCATAACTAATCGAAGAGTGGTTAGTCACATGTACCATAGTGCGATGAATAATACGATGGTGAAAGAATTGCGACGTATCGCACCATAGGATGAGTAAGAGATGAGTAAGGCATAGACCTGTCTAGACCGTTCTGGAGTAGTACGGATTGTCCTAGACAGTACCAGAAGAGTCCGGAAGCATAGCTATAGTACACGAGCAGAGAGTCCCAAAT